GGGGGCTCGGGGGGCGGGGCCCCCCCCCTCCGAGCTGTGGGCCCAAACCAAAAGCCCGAAGCCCGCTGCGAGCTTTGGGGATAGGCCCGAAATCCGACCCTTTTGAGGGTCGAGTCGGGTCGGGTTTCGGGCTTTTCGAGCTTTGCGGAAGTCTATTTACAACCACGTATACGGGCCCCCCCAAAGTGTAGTGGTTGTGGAGAAATAGGGCGTATGATTAATAGATGCCTAGCTAGATAGAAGATTTTAGTATATTTAATTTAATGGCGTTTTGGTTGATATATTTATATTTAAAATTGGTAGGTTGGGTTGGGTGGCCCACTCGTTTACCGAATACGTTATGCAATCTGTGTGGGATCTGGATTACTAATCTTCGTACTTTTGTTGTGGGATAGCCAAGTCCACCGAGGTCACATGTGGTTTCCACTATGTATTGCACCTGGTATTCTGACACTGAAGCTTGTCTCAAATGAGTTGAATGAAGCCGAAGAAAGATGGCAGGAAAACGCAAGTCTGATCTCGCTTCTACCGAAGATGACTTGTACATGCAGTCTGAGCGTGTGCCAAAGTCCATTCGCACAGCTCCAATTTTGAACACCGAAACAGCCACCTCAGGCCAGAGATTCGGCGAGATTGTCGACTACATTCCGTTGGACCACCACACTAGCTCGGGCCGGAGATTTGGCGAGTCTGCTGACTTCATTCCATTGAATCAGCTGACGCAAGTAGTTGGTGCTGACGAAGAAGATGAAGAAGCGCTTGATGTGATTGAAGGGTCTCAGGAGGTGGATGAAACCTCTCTAACAAGCTCTATCCTCTATGGTATGTTCCTATTCAATTATCTCGTTTCTTCACCTATTTATGTCCCAAAAACCATACTAAATGACACCAAATAGGTATTGTTTCTACAAAGATCGTTGGCGTGCGCCATTATAGAGGCCGTGCCAATCCAGATGAACGTGTCATCATAAATCGGGATGCAAATAATCAATATGACAGCAATGCTATCAAGGTTGACAATGTGATGGGCGCCCAGATCGGCCACATTCCACGGCAGATGGCAGCCAAGCTGGCGTCATATATGGTACAAATCTCCCATCACATTGTCTCCAAGACATTCCTAACATTCGTTGAAAGGATGCTCGTGATCTCATGGTCGAAGGCATGTTGACTGGGGCGATTGGAGATTATAACTGTCCTATTGATTTGAAACTGTTCGGGACCCGCGATCCTATCAAACGCTCCAATCTGAAACAACGAATGCAGAATGACAAGCTTCCAGTTCGTCAACTCAACGAGCTAGAACGCGAGGAACGCAAGGTAGAGAAAGAAGCCGAGAAACAGCGGAAGGAGGCCGCAAAGAAAGCTCGTGCTTTGGCTCTTGGCAAAGCTGCAGCACAATGGCAAGCCAACCAGGACTCAGAGTATGCGAACCTCTCGATCCCAGCGGGACTCGGTGGCGAAAAAAATGAGAGCTTAGAAGAACTTCTCAAACAGAGCTCCACCTTCAACCCCCGAGATATTGGTCAGGTTGTGGAAACCTTCGGACAAAAGGAGTCTGACCTGATCAACATGCCAATGGCCGATACTCCAGCCGGCCTTTCCACCCAATTACTTCCATATCAGCGCCAGGGACTAGCCTGGATGATCAAGCAAGAATCACCAAGCCTTCCTGCAAAGGGCTCCAGCGATATCGTGCAGTTGTGGAAACGGACATGTAACGACTTTCTCAATGTCGCAACAAATTTTGCCACGGCCACGGAGCCAACCCTCGCCAGCGGTGGCATTCTTGCTGATGATATGGGTTTGGGCAAGACAATCCAGATCATCTCTTTGATTCTTGCAAATGCAAAGCCTCTCACTGCAGTCTCCTCTAAGACCACTTTGATCATTGCCCCTGTCGGTGTCATGAGCAACTGGAGAAATCAGATACAGGACCATGCCCACAAGGAGACCGCTCCGAGTGTCTTGATCTATCATGGCTCTGGGAAAAAGGAAGCTGCGAACTTGGCAAAATATGATGTTGTGATCACGAGCTATGGAGCCCTGGCTCTGGATTTCAGTCCGAATGACAATAACGCTCCTGCTAAGGGCATCTTCTCACTGCACTGGCGTCGTGTCGTACTTGACGAAGGCCATAACATCCGAAATCCCAGTTCCAAGGCTTCCCTTGCAGCTTGTGGCTTGCGTGCCGACTCCCGCTGGACCCTGACCGGAACCCCCATTATCAACACTCTGAAAGACTTGTACGCGCAAATCCGTTTCCTTAAGTTTTCCGGCGGATTGGAAGATTTGAGGATCTTCAACGGTGTCTTGATTCGACCCTTGACTGCAGGGGAGCCCGAGGCTCGACTGCTTCTTGAGGCTCTCATGGGTACCATTTGCCTGCGACGTAGAAAGGATATGGGCTTCATCAACTTGAAGCTGCCCGAGATGACGTCTCGCATCATTCGAATCAAGTTCAACGCCCATGAACAGGAGAAATACAGTGCTTTCCAGTATGTATCGACAAACTACCACATAATGAAAACAAGTTGCTGATAACAATCATAGAACCGAGGCCCAGGGTGCTCTTCTCGACTTCAAGGACAAAGAAGGCAAGACCACGTACTCTCATCTCCTCGAGGTTCTTCTCCGTCTTCGCCAAGTCTGCAATCACTGGGCACTCTGCAAAACCCGCATTGACAAACTCATGAGCATGCTGGAGGAACACAAAGTCGTACCTCTCACACCCGAGAACATCCGTGCTCTACAAGAGATGCTGCAGCTCCAGATAGAAAGCCAGGAACTATGTGCCATCTGCCTCGACAACCTTGAGCAACCCGTCATAACCGCCTGTGTCCACTCCTATTGTCGGGGCTGCATCGAGCAGGTTATCGAACGCCAACACAAGTGTCCGCTCTGCCGCGCAGATATCAAAGAAACCGACACACTCATCTCCCCGGCCGTGGAACTGGGTGAAGACATCGACACCGTTGAGGCTAACCCCGACAGTCCAAGCAGCAAGATCGAGACCCTGGTCAAGATCTTGGCCGCTCAGGGCCAGGCACCAGGCACAAAGACCGTAGTTTTCAGTCAATGGACCTCGTTTTTGAATCTCATCGAGCCACATCTTGAGCAGCGCGGGATCAAGTTCGCCCGCGTAGATGGCAAGATGCCGTCTGTGAAACGCGATAACTCCATCAACTCATTCTCCACCGATCCTGGGTGTGCCGTCCTCCTCGCAAGTCTGAGCGTGTGTAGTGTTGGTCTCAACCTTGTTGCAGCGAACCAAGTCATCCTGTGTGACAGCTGGTGGGCACCAGCTATTGAGGATCAGGCTGTCGATCGGGTGTATCGGCTTGGGCAGAAGCGGGAGACGACAGTCTGGAGACTGGTCATGGAGGATAGTATTGAGGAGCGGGTGTTGGCGATCCAAGAGCGTAAGAGGAGTCTTATGCAGGCTGCTTTCCGGGAGACGGCGAGGAAAGCCGAGGATCGTGGTACCCGTGTTGCGGATCTTGAGTCTCTTTTGCAATAAAGGCGTAGCGGGTGATGGATGAGTCGGGTGATGGCTGTCTCTCTTTGCTGGTTGGTGATCGACAAGGGTGACTTGAAATCGTTCTATCTTGCTTCTTTTCTCCCACCTCTCTGTTTTCTTCTTCTCATCTTCTCTCCAACTTACATGTGCTCCATCTCATGCAACACACTCACAATCCCTTCGCAGTGAGTCCTCTGCCATGGCCCAATCCGCTTTCCCGTTCCATTTTCGAGTCTGTATTCAGTTTTCAACCCCCTTTGCCTTGAGAACCATCACCAGTCTCTTCCACCTCACCCTCCGCGTCTGTGTTCGAGCTTTACCCAGCTTCACCTTGAGAACCATGAACCATCAACGGAAAAACAGCCAGATATTGACTCAACCACCTCCTGTCAGTCTTTTTCGCCTCGATCCTCGCATCTGTGTTCGAGCTGGAACGTGCTCGATCAGGGGTTCAGGATTTGTAGTAAAATAAGCTATTTTATCAAGCCTAAACCTCACTTTTCTAATAGGCGTTGGAGACATAAAATTGCCTCACCACTCAGAAAGGTAACTCTAAATGTTTCCTTACTTAATAATACCAGTTGATTCTTTTCTAGGTAACCTTAACCACTAATTCTATTGTTATCTTTTAAGGTAATACTTGGTAGACCTATACTTACGCAGCATCATGTCACAGCGCCAAAACTTCCTAGGTGCTGCAGCACTTGTCAAGGCCTACCCGCGATAGGTATAGCCATTGGCGATAGGGCATTATAGTTGGATACAACATAGGTACTCGAAAATCTAAATTACCTACCGCCTACCGTGGACGGGTAATTGGCCCCTCCTATGTGCCTATAGACAGGTAATGCCGTAGTTTACTTGATGTATGTAAAGTTCTAGTTTTGGCCTACCGAGCATCGACTTGAGCTAGACAACTGCTGGCTAGACCGGTAACCCAGGGTTTATACTACTAGCGACATCAATAGTCACAAATGCTTAGCGATCGACTCAATAATTGATATTTCTAACAAATACACACCACCGATTTTGTAATAATAAACAAATAGCGAAAACCCGCGAAAGCAACTTAGGTGGTTTCACTCCAGGTCTCAAATTCCCGTGTTGTCAAAGGGAACACAGTCACACACTGGCACGAGCTTGATCAATTCTCTTGTAGAGAGTTGTATGGCCCGGTTTTCTTGAAGCTGCAGTTGCTGCAGCTTCCGACAAAGCAGTTTCACGCGATAGCCAGGGCATCACCACCCTCAAGGAATCTGAGATCGATCGCTGTCCGGATCCAACAGAACTACTTTGTCTAGATCGGGAAGCTTCCCGCCGCCTGGCCATATCTCGCTCACGGGAAGCATCTTGTGCCGTCTGGAGCGCCCGGTTTCGTAACTGGAAAGTATCCAGAACCCAGAACTTGCATGACTCGGTTAGGCGGATATATCGAAACTTAGGATCCATGATCACCTCCTGAAGCTCGCGATGAATTCCATATAAGTTGAAGCAGCGAAACCATTCGGCATCATTATCTTCGCATGTATCAGGAGAATTATCAATGTAACCTTGGACGATGTCCATGAACGGCATGCCATGGTACACGTCATCAGTCTCTCTCTTGGGTTCCCCAGGTGGCCAGTTAGTCCAATACTCCCAGATACGAGTTGCCGTTTCTGAGTTGTAGCCCAGATGCTCGAGTGCGGCCAAAGAGATGAGATGATCTGGGATACTGACAAAGGTATCTGAGCTTGAGAAGATTGTTCTGGGCGATAGCGGAAGATGCCGTTCTTCTTCATCGCTTGATCGGTTCAAACATCATTTGTGAATACAGCGTGTTCCATCAGATAAAGGAGGGCTGACTAGTCTCGAGTTTTGTAGGGTCACTGCATCATCGGGAGCCAGAACCATTTTCCGCACGTCGTCTTCGCTGGTCGACATGATAGACTTCCTGCGGGTAAAGGTAAAGATGTCGGAGTATGTTTCATTTAAGGGGGTGTGGCAGCAAAAAGTCGGTCCAATCTAACCTGGCGGATGGCGACAAGTTCCCTTTGAAATAGAACGATCCAGATGAACAATGCCCACTAAACTAAGTGCTAACTGTTTTCAGAGAACATTAGAGGAGTTTTCTGCTAGACGAATTTGATGAAAATGAGTAATGCGGTATGATCTTGGGTCTCTTGGGTCCCTTGCCTCCTTCTATAAAGGCGTTTGGCCTTCCCCGCTTCCTCATTGGTACCCGGAAGCAAACCTGCAGAAAACGGCCGCTAACCGAATTAGGAAAGCCGGTTACCGATCTATATCCACTCGTAGCAAAACGGTGCCTGACAATACTAAAACAAAGCCTAAAAGAACCGAAGAAGGGCCTTAAAGCCCTTGGTAAAGCTATTCTCAGAAGCCTTACTAAAGACAATTTCTTTCTAAAGGATGTATAAATATATAACAGTGCGGTCCTGCCTAGACACTCTCAGAAGGATAAAATCTATCCTAGGGCCTCGCGGGTACCTACACAAAACTAATGTAGAGAAACGGAGGACCGTTTTCCTCTTGTAGGGGAGGTTAAGATCCTAGGACTCCCGAGAACCATCAAGATCTACACTATTGACCCCTATCCGGGGCCCTACGGGCCCGCCCGGGACTAAACTATCATATATATGGGTTTGCAGCCTACCGTATTCGATAGTTTTTAGTTTCTAGATTCTTCACTAATAAAGAAACATGCGATCTTCCCCGAAAATCACATAATTAGCTATTTAACCTACTTCGTGGGATTGCAGAGCAGTGTGAAAGAAGTAGATCCTAGAATTGACCGAGGACACCGGTATTCGTACCTCATTAAAAATATTGAATCCGGCTTTTCCTTGCTGGCTGATCGTGATTGTCTCGTCACTGTATTCTGAGTTGACCTTATTCCGTATTGGTATCGAAAATGCAAAATCGCTACACTTTCAGACCAGAATCCCGGCGTGCAAGTGAGTCTTACTTCCAAAGCTTTTTGCATGGTCGGTGCTTCCCTGTGATGGGCGATTTTGAGGTCGAAGGGAGTTTCTAGAAGCGAGAGGCCTCGACAAATAGAGGATAGTCAGGCTGAGCAAGCAGGCTAAGCAATGAACAAGGACTTATTAGCAAGCGGGTAAATATGAATTGTAACTCTCTGAATCACACGCCGTCTTCTTTACTGTTGCATGCTGTTAGTTGGCATGCATCCGCTTGGTTCTAAGCTCGTCAGTGGCGTGATCCATCATTCTCTTTGTGTGCCCCGCTCTACTTGAGGTAGGTTTTGTTTGTAGCAGTCGATGATTCAAGTGACACCGGTGGAAATCAATGATCAAGGCTCGTTGCAACTCATCACTCCACAAGATGTTCTCGGGGCGGAGGTCGTCATGCACCACACCTAAGGAGAGAACTTTCCGCTCTGACCGCGAGATTGCATGCTTCATGGTGGCATCGATCTTTACATGGCGGAGGTTCTCCTCCCCCCCCCCCCACTCATCAATAGCATGTGGCGAATCTCACCCGCGCCGTGGAGGAAGTAGATCTGGGCCAAATCAATAGGACCCAGAAACACCGGCACCGCAGAGCCTTGAATGCTTTGTAGGATGTGATTAATATCTGCTTCCTGCGATACCTCGTGCCATAGTCCTGAAGTTGTGCCCTTTCTTACCACCGTGTAGCCGTATGCCGCAGAGGTCACTTTGAATGGTGCGCCATATGATCCACATTGCCCGATCGGACTGCAGTATTCGTCCAGATTATTGTCCAATTGTCGCTTGACCAAGGATACTAATTCGGCGGCCCGGATTGAATGACGGTTGGTCTTTTGTCCAACCCGATGAAGGTCCACATTGGGACATTTTGGGTTCAACATATCGCCTCGCTGTAAGCCTAACAAACACTTTTGTGTACAGAACTCATGATTGTGTGGACGAGATTGACTAGTATAGCGATGGGAGGAATTTGAGGATTTCTTTGGGGTGGTCGGCGTGAAACTCGGTGCGGGTGGCGAGGACGCAATTTGACTGAAACTCCGCTTTCGTTGTGCAGAAGGAGCCGGATCGTCGTCGGAATCTAAAGGGTCTCCTTGACGAGCGGCACTGGCAGGTGCACAGCGAGTGGAACGGGTGGGTGGGCGGCGTCCCTCGGACACAGGCGATTCAGAAGGCGATGATAGCTGGTACTAAGACGACATCATCTCCGAACTGGTACATTCCGGACTGCTATAATCGGATCCTGGAGGCTTCTGCCGCAACTCTCCTGGTGGAATCTGGGATCGCATATGGCTGAAACTGGTTTCCCAGATTGGTAGTTGTGACCGAGCAGCGTTCCGCCAGGTTTGGTCCCGACAGGCCGAACGAAAGCTCATTAGGCAGAGACAAAGCACCCTCTCGATGGCTGTCCGAGGACCTTCACTGCCATTCTCGATGTCGAGATTTGGCTCGCAAAAAGAGTAGTACAAAGTCGAGCAGTCGTCGGGTACCCGTAAGAGCACAATCCCAAGCCCAGTGGTCAAATATGAGTACTCCAGCCCTTCCTGAATCATCACGTGGTATTCCTGGACGATCGCCGAGCCTGCAAGACGAGCAGCATTATACTTTAACTTGTCGGGCCCATCTGTAGGAACGGTTTCTGATTCGACGATCTCGTGGTAAAAGTTCATCAGTCGAAGTCCTGCCCGAATATTCTCGTTGGAAAGTTTATGCGGCGGTTTGTACTCGACTGTAGTTAACAAAGCTTTCGCATTGCCATCAATGCGGTGAATACCAAACTGGTCGGGGTACGCAGGTTGTTTGTCGGGGCGTGGCTCGTCTGGCGGATTTTCCTTGAGGGCATTGGCATGGCTATCGAACCAATCCCCATTTCCGAGCTGAAACTCCTCTCGAGCTTCTGGGATTTGACAAAGCGCAGCGATAATATCATGGACGTGGTCTTCAACAGCAAAACACTCGTAGCTCTCAAGGTCCTTCTCGCTGCTCAAAGGCCGACGGGCGAAACGGTGTCCCAGCCCCTCCAGCTCAATTACCGGTGCGAACAGGCGTGGCGCAACTTTACCCCATGGTTTTAAGTAATGAAAACCAAGTTGTAGATTTCCTGTTGCCTGATAGCGCAATCCGTCCAGGGTTCCAGCCGTAGTGGGCAGGACTTGCCAGTAGGTGGTGGAATCTTGCCAGTGGTAGACTGGGCGGTATTGGCAGCTTTCAAGGGCTTCGAAAGAAGATTATGACAGTGCTGGATAAATTCTTCAAAGGTAGTCTGGCGATTTCGTTCCTGCTCTTGTTTCTCTCTTTGCTCAGCCTGCCTTCTCTCCTCTTCTGCTTGCTCTCGCAATGTCTTCTCCTGCCTCCTTTCCTCCTCGGCTTTCAGAAACAAAGCCTTGTAATCAACCGGATCCGACATGACCGTAATGAGTGGAGTGGATATTTGAGAAGTTGTTGATTTATTGACCAATGATCAATGAGTGGAGACCATGGAATGGCAGGTGTCGAGCAGCCGGCAAAGCGGATAAACAGTTCAACCGATATCCGTACTATGATTAGGGATTCCCTGCTCCTCGGAGAACTAACCGGCCCTTACATTTTTTAACAAAAAATTTCAGGGACCGGTTACTTAATAAGCCCCCGTGGAAATCCGAATGGAAACGCTTACCATATAGATTTGACCAAGAATCCACCAGAGACTTTCTCAATTCGTCCAGATACCCCATCGGATGCTCGGCGTTTCGCTGTAGAGAACAGCCCCCGATTGGTCAATTTCACCGACAGAAAAAGATACATACGCGGGGAGAAGCTATTGAGCTCCAGGATAAGGCCGATAACATACTCCAACTGCACCTGATATAAAGCCACCCTGCGCCTGTTGGCGTTCTATTTTATTTCTTCTGTCCTACATCTATTGCCCTCTCTCACCCGACCTACGTTGATTGACCAGGGTCCCTTTCTCTCGCACCGAACTGCTCATTAGGTTTGCGATTCTCTCTCCGCACCTTTAATCTTGTCCCCTCCACCCCCCTTCACATCAAAATCATAATGTCCTCGGTCTTCCGTGCCAGCACGCGGCTGCGCTCAGTAGCTCGCCTCCCGGCAGCGCGCGCTCTCTCTACTACTGCCAGTCTGCGTGCAGCTGAGAAGCCCTACTTCCCCAATGAGCCTACCGCACCCTCCGTCTCGGGGGCAATCCCCGGACCCAAAAACCAGGCCGCTGCCATTGAGCTCGATGAGGTCTTCGATGTTCGCAGCTTGAACATGCTGACTGACTACAACCAGTCCGTTGGAAACTAGTATGGCAGATCCCCAACCCACTACCAAGGCTCAACTAATCCCGCCTTTAGCATCGCTGATCTCGATGGAAACAAGCTCCTCGATGTGTAAGTCACCAGCCACAAGTCAATTGGAAAGACAGAGGCTGATTTCAGTAGGTATGCTCAGATTGCTTCCATTCCCGTTGGATACAACAACCCCCATCTGCAGAAGGTTGCCGCCTCTCCCGAGATGGCCTGCGCCCTGATTAACCGCCCGGCCCTGGGCAACTTCCCCTCCTCGGAGTGGGCTCACATTCTCAAGACTGGTGCCCTCCGTGCTGCCCCCAAGGGCCTGGACCAGGTCTTCACCGCCATGGCTGGCTCTGATGCCAACGAGACCGCCTACAAGGCGGCCTTCATGTACTACCGCCAGCTGCAGCGTGGTGGCCCCGAGGTCGAGTTCACCGAGGAGGAGCTGCTCTCCACTATGAACAACCAGAGTCCCGGTTCGCCCCAGCTGTCTATTCTCTCCTTCAAGTCTGCCTTCCACGGCCGTCTCTTCGGCTCCCTGTCCACCACCCGCAGCAAGGCCATCCACAAGCTGGATATCCCCGCCTTTGACTGGCCGCAGGCCACTTTCCCCCAGCTGAAGTACCCGCTGGAGGACCACGTCCAGGAGAACGCTGCCGAGGAGCAGCGCTGCTTGGCCGAGGTTGAGCGTCTCATCAAGGAGTTCCACAACCCCGTCGCTGCCGTAATTGTCGAGCCCATCCAGTCCGAGGGTGGTGACAACCACGCCTCGCCTGCCTTCTTCCAAGGTCTCCGTGACATCACCAAGCGCACTAACGTCCTCTTCATCGTCGACGAGGTGCAGACCGGTGTTGGTGCCACCGGTAAGTTCTGGGCCCACGATCACTGGAACCTGTCCTCTCCCCCAGACATGGTTACCTTCTCCAAGAAGGCCCAGACTGCCGGATACTACTTCGGCAACCCTGCCCTCCGCCCCAATAAGCCCTACCGCCAGTTCAACACCTGGATGGGAGACCCAGCCCGTGCCCTGGTCTACCGCGGAATCATTGAGGAGATCGAGCGTCTCGGTCTCGTCGAGAACACCCGCATCACCGGTGACTACCTCTATGGTGGTCTCGCCCGTCTCGCTGAGAAGTACCCCCAGCACTTCCAGAACCTCCGTGGTAAGAACCAGGGTACTTTCATCGCCTGGGACACTCCCAAGCGTGACCAGTTCGTCGCCAAGGCCAAGTCCTTCGGTGTGAACATCGGTGGCAGTGGCGCCTCTGCTATCCGTCTGCGCCCTATGCTGGTCTTCCAGAAGCACCATGGTATGTCAACCTTCTCTTCTTTCCTTGTGCCTTAGAGCCACTTACTAATGTATCTTTCTCCTACAGCCGATATTCTCCTCGAGAAGATCGAACAGATCGTCCAGGTCCTCTAAAAAAAAATTCCGGCAATGACCTTTAGAAGTGCCCGGGCGTTTTCAAATTGGCTTATTAGCGTGTTTTCTCTTTTCTCGGTTATTCCTTTCCCTTTTTTCTTCTGGACGGCTCACCTTTCTCCCTTCTCTACCACGACCTTATGTCATAAAAATGCCATAGTTATACATTCCTGGACAGCGTCCTTGTCCAGAATTGACTTAAAACTCAAACCGAACCACTGGGGCCAGGGTAGGAAATAACTACTCCACAAGCCATTTCCTCATCTTAATGTCCCCAGCCGAAGAGACTGGAATTATTAACTCCTAAGAAGTATTCCAAATCTACTCTTATGCCCCTGTAGTCCAATAAATAATTTGAAGAAAAGTAGGTAATGCTTCCCATCCGAAACTCCGAACGACCAGCAAAATTGTAGCAAAATTGTAGAACCACCCTCATATTGCTTCTTTTGATTGAATCAATGGTGTGTGCGCCGTAGGGGTATCCAGAACCAAGACTGTATGGGCAAGGGTGGGTTCGTGTAGCGGTCAAGACTCAAGGTAGCTGCTTCATGCATCTTCCTCGCCAGTGCTTCCGTCTCGCCTGGGACAAGCAACCGTTAGTATCATGAGGAAAACATCTCAGAAATAGTGGAGTGCATTTGAGGAACACGTACGGGACATATTTAATGCCAGAGTCCTCTAGACTGTTGATAATGTATTCCGGAAGCTGACAATGTGAAAGACAGATTTAGCCGTTCTGTGCTTATCCAAAATCCCAATTCTGCAGTAATCAAGGATGCACTCACTGTCCCGGTAACTTTGGTCGCATATGTGCCCGGCACGTAGTTATCTAACCGCTGCCAACGAGCGACCCAGCTCGCAGCCGGATCCCGAACAGCGATCAGGCCCTCGAAGACCTGTGATGTACATTCTTGAATAGCATCATTGTTTCCACGAAGTTGGAGGGTGCTCTCGCAATTTGGGCAACCTTCACGCATGAATTTCTGGAGTAATCAGGTTTGTTAGAGTTGGCCGCGGAACGGAGAGGGGGAGAAGCTCTCACAGTGTGAATTTGGACGACGGAGCAAACCATACAGGCGCGTAGTGCACGCTGCTGGTTTGGAGGGGCGTAGAAAGACATATGGAGGAGATGTGTGGATGCGAAGAGGGAAAATTATGCTATGGATGGGAGTTAGCCGTCAAGTCTGGATCGATGCCAAGACCCGTTGCGATTAGGCAAAAAGAACATGGGAGAAGCAGGAACAAGACTATCCTTTCTCTCACTTTTTTTTTTTTGACCACGCTCTTGACCTCTTTTTCTTCTCTCTAACATTATAGTGGATTCCAAGGAGTTTTGTTCTTTTCTGGCATTTTTGTCTTTCCCTTCCGGCTCGTATAATTGTCACCTTTTCCTCCGCGCCCTTGTTTCGCACCGATAATCGCTGTCTCGTGCCCCTCACGTTTTCCCTCCGTCCAAATGGCTACCGATCAAGAAGTGGCCACTGCGCTTAAGGTGCAAGGCAACAAGGCCTTTGCTCAGCACGACTGGCCTGTCGCAGTCGACTTTTATAACCAGGCTATTGCCAAATTTGATAAAGACCCATCGTTCTTCTGCAACCGGGCCCAGGTGTGTTTCCGACGATCATGGTGGCACATTCCCAAGAGTCGCGTGCACGCTCGTTGGTTCGGCACAGCTAACGGTCCTCTTCTGTTTGGTTTCACAGGCTCAAATTAAGCTCGAAGCTTTCGGCTTTGCCATCGCGGACGCCACAAAGGCAATCGAATTGGATCCCAATTACGTGAAGGTCAGTCGGCATTCCCGGCCAGCAAGAGAGACAACTTGTGCCTGCAGATAAAGGAGTCGTGGGGATACATGCTTAATCCATGTCCATCACAGGCCTACTGGAGACGTGCCCTCGCCAATACTGCAATCCTAAGCTACAAGGAGGCCTTGAAGGACTTCAAGGCCGTGGTTAGACGCGAACCGACCAACCAGAATGCTAAGCTAAAGGCCACCGAGTGTGAGAAGCTCGTGCGCCGCAGAGAGTTTGAGCGGGCCATTGAGATCTCAGACCCGCCTTCTGCCTTTGCGGACTTGGACATCGGTGCTATCAATGTTGAGGACGGCTATGATGGTGTGCGTCTTGGTGAAGAAATGTCGCAAGAATTCATCGATGATATGATTGAGCGCTTTAAAGATGGAAAGAAGATCCATCGCAAATATGTCTTCCAGATCATCAAGGCTGTCAAAGATCTGGTATACAATGAGCCTACAATGGTGGAAATTGGCGTGGAATCGGGCAAGAAGCTAACGGTCTGCGGCGATACGCACGGTATGTATTGTCCATGACTGGTGAGTGGAACAGTGACTGACTTTGAATAGGCCAATACTTCGATTTGCTGGAGATCTTCCGACGAAACGGTGCCCCCTCCGATACTCACGCCTACCTCTTTAACGGTGACTTTGTTGACCGTGGCTCCTGGTCCTGCGAAATTGCACTGCTGCTATATGCATACAAGTGGTTGCGTCCTAACGGTCTTTTCCTTAACCGTGGAAACCACGAGACGGATGATATGAATAAGGTATACGGCTTCGAAGGCGAGTGCAAGGCTAAATATAACGAGCGGGTGTTCAAGGTGTTCTCCGAGTCCTTCTCGGCTCTGCCACTGGCCACCTTGATTGGCGAGAAGTATCTTGTCTTGCACGGTGGTCTCTTCTCCGATGACAAGATCAAGTTGGATGATATCCGCAAGCTCAACCGCCACAACCAACGGCAGCCTGGCCAAGCGGGTCTGATGATGGAGATGCTCTGGACAGACCCGCAGACCGAGAATGGCCGAGGTCCCAGCAAGCGTGGTGTCGGTCTCCAATTTGGTCCTGACGTGACCAAGCGTTTCTGTGAAAATAACGGCCTGAAGGCTATTATTCGTTCCCATGAGGTGCGGATGGGTGGTTATGAGGTCGAACACGATGGTCGTTGCATCACTGTCTTTTCCGCTCCCAAGTACTGCGACTCCACTGAAAACAAGGGCGCTTACATCAACATCGGCCCTGAACTCGAGCTTGCATATGAAGTCTTTGAGGCAGTGCCACACCCCGATATCAAGCCGATGGTAAGAACCTTCAAACATCCACAATATCATGCATCCCCAGCTAACTGTCCCAGGCATACGCGAATAACTCTATTCTTTCGGGAATGTGATGGCATCTTTGATTTTCAAGCGCAGCGTTGCCTAAGAAATCTACCTAGAATTGATGTTCCAAATGTATTTATGTGCATGAATGATGTTTCTGAGTAGCTCTGACGTCGCCAACTTTTTTTCCCACACACCGCTTTCGCCCCGCGCTTTCCCCCTCGATTCTGCCACTTTGACTTCTTCTTGCCCTCGGTCCAGACACATCTTGCATAGCAGTCATGGAATTCGATCCTAAAACCCGTAAGTATCGTGCTATGCCATAAAACATGATGGGCTAACCGGAGCAGCTCAATACCTCACTTCCGACAAGTCGAGCTTCGCCTCGATCTCGGCCAACGAGCGATGGCCTGTCATCATCGTGAGATTGCGGCAGACAGTCGATAGCTGGAGGACCCAATGCTGAATATGTGTGATGAATATAGACCGGCGCTATTGACGATCTTCACCGCACTGTTGTGAGTGTCAATGACAACGAGAAGGCAAATGAAGGCAAGGGCATCATTGCCAACTTGGCCAAGTTAAAATATGAGCTTCAGCATAACCGACAACTGACGTGAGCCCTTTCATCCTCTATGCCAGAACCGCAAGAGCTTCATTTAACATGCCTATTGCGGCTAGCCCCCTGGATGACGACGGACATCCCGACATCGCCTCGTATAACAAAGAGCTGGAGGAGCGCGGAAACCCCCACTGGCATGATGTGGCCTGGCTTTATTCAGAGTGTTACCTCTGTAAGCTCAACACCCCAGTTTTACAGGAAATGAGATAAGCTACGGCAATGCTTACCAGAAAACTATCCTAGACCGCCGCATGGAAGCCCTCTTCGCGCTGTCCAAGCATTGGAAGGGCTATGACGTATTCGCCCGCCAGAAGATGAATACATTCAAGTCGTCCCGTCCCGCCGTACTAGAACTCGCTACGAGATACCGCGAATTAGCAATCGAGGCAGAGTCGGGGAAAGCAAAAGAAATCAAGTCGGCAGAGGAGATCGAGCAGGCAGAGAAGCTTCTCTTCTCGGAGATGTGCGAGATCTGCTTATGGGGTAATGCCACCGATCTGTCACTTCTGACATCTCTCACCTACGAGGATATCCAGAAACTGCAGGGCTCCGAGGCACGCAAAGCATCGCAGAAGAACATCATTGTCAACGACCTCGATGCTGCTTTCGAGGCAATGCAAAAGGCGCGGAGAGAAAAGAAGCACGGCGAGCGCCGCGTCGACATCGTCCTAGACAACTCCGGATTTGAGTTATTCGTTGACCTAATTCTCGCTGGATACTTGCTGTCCGTCGGGCTGGCGACCAACGTCGTGCTCCATCCCAAGCGCATGCCGTGGTTTGTGTCGGATGTCACGCCGAAAGATTTCTCCGATCTGCTTAATAGCATGGTCGACCCGCAGTCCTTTTACACAGCGGCCGATGACTCGGGCAAGACATTCCCTCCTCTTTCCGAGAAGGAAGTTTCCAACGTGCAATTCCTCTTTGAGCAGTGGAGCCAGTTCCACCAGGATGGTAAGCTGATACTGCGCCCACACGCCTTCTGGACCACCCCGGGCGGTTACTGGCGCATGCCATCTGTGGCACCGGAGCTGTTCGAAGATCTGAAGGAGAGCGAGCTTGTTTTGTTCAAGGGCGACCTGAACTACCGGAAGCTGGTCAATGATGTGAGTCCGGTGTTCTTTGCCTTTCTTTATTTTGCTTTGCGCCTCTTGCTAACAACACCCAGTCCCAATGGGATCCCACCACTCCTTTCACAGAAGCCATTGGCCCGCTTGGCCCCAAGTCTGGGATCCGTGTTCTAGCTTTCCGTACTTGCAAGGCTGATCCCGTTGTTGGTCTCCCCGCTGGCGAGGACGAGAAACTCCGTGCGCTGCCTGGAGGCGGCGGCTCTGAGTCTCGCAAGTGGGCCTGGAGCGGGAAATGGGCTGTCGTGTCTCTTTCTGACGGCAAGGCGTGAGAGCGCACAAGGCACGATTGAAGGTGCTTTCCAGCAGACTTTGGTTTCTGCTGAAAACCGGGTGAATATGCCAACATTGATCCTGTAGATGAGCTAGAATAGTAAAAGATCACAGCTGGAACTAGACGAATTAATTGCTAATCCAGATTGTGAATACAAGGTGTGATATGGCCATGTACCAATCTCGCTTAAACGAGAGAAACATAGAGGCTTGCCATAAGAGATATCACAGCTCCAGCGATTGGCTTGGAGTGATTGAGAACAGTGCCTACGAGCGGTCCTGAACGATTGACTAGAAAAGATTCACTATTTGAGTAATAGTTTAACATTGTTTTTTCGCTTAAAACGTAGATAGCTGCAAGAGAAGGGAAAAGGGTAACGCTTCTGAACCCGAACACCATCCTACTATACTCCTAATGTTACTCCCCACTTCCAAATCAGAAAGCGAATCAAAACAAATAACGTCATTCAAGACTTCAAGAGTTTTCCTTTCCAAGTACTGTGATTCTGCGACTGTCCTTCTGCCTGAGCCGTGACTTGGCAGCAGCAATTCGTTCGGGAGAGAGAACTTCACGCCGGACATCAGTCAGTCCGTACCGCTTGCCCACCCGTTCGCCCGCTAAAACGGTATACCCTGAAAGCCGGCTGCGATACGGGAGGCCTGGCATTGAATCGAGGTTAGATTTGATGTGGGTACGCTCGCGTTGTGTCCGTCGGTTGCTGAGCTGAGTGTCATCGTCAGCAGGGAGGTTCGGATTCCGATAGGCCCGCTGGCCTTCACCGAGTCGGCGTCTTGAGAACGCGCGGTTCAGCGACTTCAGGGCTGTGAGATCGGGAGGTGAGGATGGGGGAATTTCATCCAACACAGCATAATTGGATTCGAGCCGGGGCTTCACTAGAATTTCGTGTAGGTAATGTGTGACCTCGTCATCATCTGCGGCTATATCTCGGGAATTTGGCCTCATGCCAAATGTACACAACGTAGCACTGCTCTGCGCAGGTCGCGAATCGCGGACTTTGGAACGTGGACTCGGGCTTGGGGGAAGCTCGATATCTTCAGTAAGCTCTTCTTCAGGTTTCTCAAGATCCTGACCGGTGAAATCCTGGCCAGCAAAGTCAAACTCCTGAACGCCTGTGTTGTCTTTGTGAGGACTTAGGAATTGCCGCTCAGTGGAAGGTAGCACCGGGAAGCGTTCAGTAGGACCAAGTCGCAGCTTCAGAAGGTCGATCTGTTTCTGCAAGTTGCGGCGCTCTGCATCGGAAGTATTTCTCAAGTTCTCCTCCGAGGCACGGTGCTCGTGGCAGACCGTTTTGAGCTTCTCTCTGTATTCTTGGATCCGCTGCTCCAGTCTGGCCTCTCTCTGCTTTAGTCTTATCTCCTTGTCCTTTCGCCGACCTTCATATCGGGACATTTCCTGCTTCACACGGGCCAGCGTTTGTTTCAGAGTATTGTTCTCTTTCTCGAGGGCTTGGGCTTTCTTTTCTGAATTCTGCGCGAGGTCTTGAAGTGTGCTCATTTCAGATAGCTGTGTTTTCATCTCCTCAATCTTGGCATTGGCTTGTTCCAATTCTTGCTGTGTTTTGCGAAGCTCGTCCGTTGAGGCGTTTGAAGGCAGCTCTTCATTTTTCTTCTGTGTGATATTTGCCGCATCGCTTACGATACCATGCCGTTCTAAGGTGTTGCGTAGCGAGGTAACTTGCTGCTTGTATTGTAATGCAAGAGCAGTTTGTTTGGTCAAACTCTGAAGCAATTGTTCCTTATCGCCTGTGGATCCCTCCCTGACCATGGAAGAAGCAAGCCGTGACACCTGCCTTTCCATCTCGGCGACCTTTTCTTCTTCTTCCTTCAGCTTGTCGGCCAGCCGCATAGCTTCAGTATCCTTCTTCCGGGCGTAGGATTTGGCAATCGACCGGTAGTGGATCAATTTCTTGATCTCTCGGTTGGTCCTCACACGATAATTGTCGAACTCGGTTTTCCAGTACTTGCCTGACTCTGATTGAGGGTCCTCCAAATTGAGAGTGATATCTTTGTCGAGGGTATCCTTTGACTCAGGGACTATGACCGATTTCGCGTCTCCTGTGCTCTCATCAGACTTGGCCGGTTCGGAGTTCCTGGACGCATTCTCGCGTGCATTCATGAGTGTCTGGGTAAGTTTGCTCCTCGGCTTGCCACTTCCATCTGATGATCCGGACATCCATTGGGTACTGAGGGTCCCGGAGGGATTTGGCGGAGTCTTGGCTGGCTTACTGGCCGAGCCCGGGCGTTTCCCTTCATTGTCGATGACACTTTCGCCAAAGGATACCGTTTTACGACGCAGAGCAGTTCCGGGTGTAACAAGTATGCTTTTCGTGGGGGATCCCGTGGGGTTGTAAGTCGCGTCGGCTAGTTTCGCGTCGGTCTTGATCTCTGGCGCTGGTTTTATCGTGTCACTCTTGCTTCGTTGGCGGCCGGGCTGTTTCTGAGACGCGTTGTTTTCATCTTCCTCTGCTCCCGGAGTACCAAATAAAGCGCTCTTAAAAGCACGAATTGCGAAGACATGGCCTGGGGTCTCAGGGGGGTCCAGCAACTTGGAGTCATCTGTAGCATCACGTTTTAGCGAGAGCTTCAAAGGTCAAAGTAATCACCACACCTGTAGTCTGTAGAGTTTGCTCGTTCCCCTTGATCCAGTCCAGCATTTTGCCTGCCAGGGTTAGAAGAATCAAAATTCTTGCAACCCAGTTGAAGACCAGTGTTTATGGTCCGCGCGGTCGGAAAAAGCAGAAGCGCCGATCACTTTATCGATAAGCTCTTGTCTTTTGTTTACTTTTTTTGGGACTTTTGAACACTGGGTTGAGTGGATTCTGTTTGATTTTCTTTTTCTTTTGCCTAGAAGGCATTGGACTTGATGGGGCCTTGTGGATTTCTCCATACAACATAACAACATAGCAGGTGGATGTACACGGAACACACACGTGCGTATACGACGGACACCGGGGCACTTGTGTATGGAGATCAGCCCTGAAGTCAACGACCAGCCTTGCAGCCCAGATCAATTCTCCGCGGTCCGACTGACGAATCTGACAATTGTTTCTGTCTAGTCTCGAGAATCTCCTGAATTCTCCCCTTTCTCCTAAAATTTCCAAGACTACAGTGTCTTGTGGTCCTTAACAGCGCTTAAATCTTGGAAACCTTCAAATCACTACAGCTACCATGTTGTACGCAAACATCAAATATAAATAACCCGGGTTGGCACAGCAATATGCATATTTCCCATTCGGTTGCTCTCCACTTGGCTGCTAGCGCCTGTGCAGCCACATTTTTCGGATTCGGCGTCAACGCTATCCTATGTTGTATGTTGTACGTCCAGACTATGGAGCATGCCCTCTCTTTCTTCGAGTTCCAGCCACCGAATGACTTAGTCTACCAACACATGGTTCACATTCTAATGGCAAGATCTGAAATCCGGGACATCTTCATGGGAGGGCTGCCACATATGCGGCTTCGTATTTCGGCACCCGTTCAACCCTGGGCTGGATCTAGATTGCCGCTAGCAACATTGGATTTTCAGATGGGTATGTTTGTTGGACTCATGGCTACGGACAGTGGAATTACGGGGGATACGCACCAATGATTATTGTGGCTGACAGCTTGTTGCTCGGTATCTTCGATCGTGTGGGACGGTCACAGCTGGAACACACAAACGGCACGAATAGAAATGATCGACTATTGCGGTGACAACAAATGCCCCCCTTCGCGACAAATGCCAGCTCACCGGCTCACTAGCTCACCACTTCATGGTATCCGGGTCCACTATTGGGCAGGGACAACAGTGCTTTAGCTGGACGATGATGATACAACCAATCTCAAGTCAATAGACACATGGGATATCTCGCGAAGGATTGGATTAAGCCCAATATGGAAGGATCATGACATGCAATTGAATCACAATACAATACAAGCATTTATTCTATGTTGTATGTATCCATAGCTTAACCCGATGGGGACGACATTTATCTGAAGCAACTCCACTTTATAACTGAAAGGGCGTATGATCTGACCGCCTGTTTAATCTAGCCTCAGAATGGAAAAAAAAGAAAGATTGCCCAGTTCTCTCTCCACCTACCATACCCCTTTCATCTTTAATCGCCAGCCCCCATGTCGTACGACGCTCAGGGTCGCATGTAGGGCGAGCTCTCGCCACGCCCCGCGATGTCTCCCAAACAGAGGAAGAAGCCCTCCCGCCAGAAAAACCAACCCTCCGATTCTTCCGTGACGTTCCCCATATTTACAACTAATTACCGAGAAATCCACCAGACAGAGGTGGAAGCTCTGTGTTCGATCTATGGCGATGATTTTGAAGAAGTAGAAAATAGGCGGTCGGCTTGGCAGGTGGGTGCAGTCTTCAAGCTTTTTGGACCCCTCGTGGTCACTGACCCGTGCAATCTAGCAATCCTCCGATGTGGCATTCAAACTCCACTTACGATCCTCCTCAAATCCAGATATCCTCCTCATTTTGCTCGTCGAACTGCCAGCTACATATCCTAAAACTGTCCCCAATCTCTCACCAGGAAACCTCGACGGCTTTCGCGATGGAGCGCGTTCCCGAATCCAAGAAATTTTACACAACAAGCCAAAATCTTTACTCGGAAGTGAGATGATCTACGAGCTGGCGGTGTCCATCCAAGATGTTTTAGAGGATGTTGCTCAGGCACAGGCACAGGATAAAGACCTCCCCAGCCTTGAAGAGGAGCGTATGGAGCAAGAGGCGGCTGCTCTTCACCGCGCAGACCTAGAAAAACAAGAGGAACTTCGTAAGCAAAAGGCTGCAGCTGCCGAGGAAGAGCGCGCATTGCAAGAAATGCTTCAAGACAAGATGCGCCAGCGGAACAAGGCTCGCATTTTGAGACGAAAGAGTCGAACCGGCGGCGCAGATGTGAGTTATATTGATGACCTAGTGGAAAATACACCTGGCGCCATCTGCTTTGATCCTCCGTTGGCCGTCAACGACACCGATGAGCAGCCGTTGGTCTTCCGTGCCGTTCATGGCAAGACCCTGCTGCAAAGCAAACAGTGCAAGAAGACCTTCACCGTCCGGCCCGTTGTGTCCGAGGACCGATGCTACGTCCCGCTGCTTGTTTTGAAGGAGTTTTGTCTCGATGAGAATAATTCCGAGGGATTGAAATTCCGCGAGCAGATGCGCACTAGTGAGGATAAACTAGAGTGCATCAAGCGGTTGCGGCACCCCAATCTTGTTGATTTCGTGGGGTTTAAAATAAATCGTCCAATTAGCCACCTCGATTCACTCGATAATTCTTGGACTGTCTTTGCGCTTCTGGAGTATGCAAACAAGGGTTCTCTTTCCGAGCTTCTGGATATCGTGGGGACCGTAGCGGTTGACATGCTTCGCGGTTGGATGATTCAATTGCTCGAGGCTCTGGAGTTCTACCACCGCAGTGGTTTTGTGCATGGGAACATTCACTGTGGCCGAGTCTTTTTGTTCAGGACCCCTTCTGGTGAAACTATCGTTAAATTGCAGTCTAACGTCGAAGAGGCTTTACCTGACCCTCTTTGTGGAAGGCCCTCTTTTGTGGCCTCAAAGTCACCACTTTGGGTGCCCCCCGAGCTGACACAAGACAGTTCTGCTCCCTCCATGAAGACCGATGTCTGGGATCTTGGAATTGTGCTGCTTCAGATGGGCTTTGGAAAGGATGTTCTTCTCAGGTATACCTCAGCAAACCAGTTGATGGTATCTATGGGACTGTCGCCTCCCCTGCAAGATTTGCTTTGTGAATTTTTCCGCCCAGATCCTAGGAAACGTCCGACTGCTTTCCAACTTCAACCTTCTGAGTTTTTCCGGGTGGATGCGCCATTAAAGATGCGAGAGAGAGCGTCGGGATCTCTGTCCCTGCAGAGACGGCCACGCCTCGACTCGTTTGGAGCCATGCCGGCTTTCTCACGATACCACCAAGACTTTGATGAGGCAGGTCAACTAGGCCGTGGTGGATTTGGACAGGTTGTAAAAGCCCGGAATAAGCTGGATGGCCGGTTGTATGCAATAAAGAAAATCTCGCAATCATCGGCCGCAGCGTTGAAAGACACACTTTCCGAAACCATGTTGCTATCTCGGCTGAACCATTCCTATGTTGTCCGATACTACACTGCTTGGCTTGAAGAGGACTTCAATCACATTGAGGAAGAGACTATGTCCTCCACGGAAGGTGACCCGTTTGCTAGCCATGATCACGGTTTCAGTACAGGAGGCCTTGATTTCATCAGCTCCAGCGGTTATCCAAAAATAGAGTTTGCCGCATCAGACAGTGATGATGAAAACGAAGGAACGTTATCTGACCCTGCTCACCCAGAGACGCCAGAGAGAAATAGGGTGCATGATGCTGGCGTTGATTCTGGAAGTGAGGAGGACGTTGAGCTCAGCCGACCGAGATCTAGCTCTTACGCCAGGCCGATTTTAACTACACTCTACATTCAGATGGAGTACTGTGAGAAGCATGTAAGTGTTTTGCTATCGCTCTGCTCGGTGTTCTAGACTAATGTTGTCGAAGACCCTGCGCGATTTGATAAAGGATGATTTATGCGATGATAATGAGCGTTCATGGCGTCTCTTTCGGCAAATTCTCGATGGCTTGAGCCACATCCATAGTCATGGCATCATACACCGTGACTTGAAGCCTGATAATATTTTCATTGACGTCGCAAATAATCCCCGCATTGGAGATTTTGGTCTTGCAACAAGTGGCCAATTTACCACGGCCGTGCGTTCATCCGCAGCAGCCGACTTCGAAGGGAATTTCACTCGCAGTTTGGGAACAACTTATTACGTGGCACCAGAGATGAAGTCGGTTGTTTCGGGGCACTACAATGAGAAGGTCGATGTGAGTTGCGAATTCACAATTAGCAGCACCAGTAGATGCTCACACCTTCTAGATGTTTTCGCTCGGTGTAATTTTCTTTGAGATGTGCCATCCATTGCCAACTGGCATGGAACGAGATCAAACTCTTCGACAGATCCGAGAAAAGAACCACACTCTTCCGCCCACTTTCCAGCAATCTGATAAGTTGCTCCAAGGCCAGATCATTGAATCTCTTCTGAGCCATACCCCGAGCGAACGCCCCACCGCCTCCGACCTTTTGTCCAGTGGAAAGATCCCTCTTCAGGTCGAGGAAGAGACATTCAGACGGGCTATTGTGCATCTGCTCTCAGATCCAAATTCACCCGACTACAAAAACATTCTCTCAGCCATATTCTCTCAATCGCCTAAGAAATTCGAAGATATTGCTTGGGACATAGACTCGCATGCGGTACCGGCCGCTAATGAGCTACTTGTCCAGGGCCTGGTCAAGAAGAAGTTAACCTCGATATTTCGACGACATGGTGCTGTTGAGTCAACAAGGCAAATGCTATTTCCCCGATCTCAGCATTACAACGTCGGTGCAGTACGTGTGCTGGATGCATCAGGTAATCTTTTACAGCTGCCATATGATCTCACTCTTCCAAACGCACGAGCAATTCCAAGACAAGATCACTCACTGGAGAAGACATTTGCTTTCGGCACAGTCTACAGAGATTCACCCCATGGCAGTGAACCACGAACTCACCGCGAAGTTGACTTTGACATTGTGTCCTACAACACTTTAGATCTAGCCTTAAAAGAGGCAGAAGTAATCAAGGTGTTGGATGAAATAATTGAGGAATTTCCACCTTTGCGGTCGACTCCCATGTGCTTCCTTGTCAACCACTCCGATCTGCTCCAACTCATTATGGAATTCTGTCGCGTCACACCTACGCAAATTCCGAAGGCCAAGGAGGTTCTCAGTAAGCTTAATGTTGGAAAATACACCATGCAAAAGATTCGAAGTGAACTCCGGGCTCCGGCAATTGGTGTTGCTTCGACTTCCTTGGATGACCTCGCCCGTTTCGATTTCCGAGGTACTTGAGCTTCCTTTCTCAGACCGGGGACAATAAGCTAATGAATATTTTACAGACTCGCTGAAGGAGACTCAACGCAGGCTGCAGAGCATCATGGAGGGCACTGAATACGCAGAGCGGATTTCACCAATTTTCGCGCGCTTGAACGTGCTCATGACCTATTTGCAGACTTTCGACGTGAAGCGAAAAATCTACATCAACCCACTTAGCAGTGTTCATGACAAGTTCTACCGCGGTAGCGTTCTGTTCCAGTGCATTTTTGATAGCAAACGACGCGATGTGTTTGCTGCAGGCGGCAGGTATGACAGGCTGATCCAGGAATTCTCACCTAATGTCCTATCAAATCGCCCACAAGCACATGCTGTGGGTTTCAACCTCGGCTCGGATCGACTACGCTCATCAATGATCGATTACCTGAAGGCCAAGGCTCCGTCGAAAGATTCCGAGACAAATACCGAGTCGTATTGGGCGGCCCGTCGGGTAAGTGTCCTCCCATACCATCTCGTTTAATGAAAATTTTTGCTGATCTTCAACACAGTGCGATGTACTTGTCGCTAGCTTTGACCCCACCGTACTCCGTACAACAGGGGTCAAACTTATCGAAGAGCTCTGGTCAAACAAAATAAGCGCCGAGCTTGCTGTCGATGCTTCGTCCCTTGAAGAGCTTCTAGCAAAATACAAAGACTCCAACCACCGGTGCATTGTGATCGCCAAGCAAGATAGCAAGGAGCGTGGATTTAAAGTTCGGAATCTGATGCGCAAGGAAGAATTCGACATCCGCACCCCTGAACTGGTGCTGTGGCTTCGATCAGAAGTGCAGGCGCGCAACCACCGCGAGGGAACTGCTGATCCCCGCCAATCCCGCCAATTAAGCCAGCAGGAGGCTCTCGCGTTCCAGGAACGGGCAAATGATGTGCGCATCCTCGTTCCTCAACACCGAAGCAAGAAGACGAACCGAAGGAACATTGTTGAGTCAGGTATGTCTATGGTTCAAGAGGATCAATCCTCGGTCCAGTCCCCCTTACTAACTGATACGTTGTGTTCTAGCCCTACTTTCTGCTCGCGAAGTAGCCGAAAACGCCCGCAACGGCCCCATCGCCGCCATAGACACCCGCGACGAAGTTCTGGACGCTATTCGGGACACGCGTCTCTCCGACGCAGAGAGCTGGCGTAGCGTGATCCAGAACGTACCTCTAACAGAGCGGAAGTATCTCAGTCAAGTGTTCGAGCTACTCACTGACTTGGCTGTGGAGAATCGTACAAATGATAATACGGAAAGCTACACGAACGCTTTCATCTACAACTACCGTACAGGCTCTTGCGTGTACTACGACCTGGGGACCTAGTGAGAAATGAATTTACGACTGACTGATCTCATGGGTAGGGGGTTGGCGAAGTGGAGTTAGGTTGAGCATAAATCTCAGGTCAATGGGGCTCACGGTGTTTGCATTTCTTATGGGTGGATGTATTTCATTAAGCTTGACACTCAATGCCGTCTATTAGCGAGTGCCCGGGATGATACCATGCATGTAGTTATGAATGACATCCAGAAACAATATTTAAGGATATCTTGTATAGAGATGCAGGAACAAAAATAAACATTTTGACAGAGGTATCGTTGCTGTTGTACATGAAAAAATTCGCAATCATGAAGGATAAAAGTGCCGCACGTACTGCACGTAAATCAGTCACTCTCATCGTCGCTGCCGTAGCCGACCAACGGTCCAGCAGTAGCTTTGGATGCCTGGGTCGTTACCCTACCACCATTAAGACTGTGCAGGGCTGCAACAGCAGAGCTGGAGAAGATGCCATTACTCTGGGGCTGCTGCTCCTGTGCCGAAACTGAAGCAGACTCGATCATCAAAGGTTGTTCAGGTGCCTCTAGCTGAGCAGCCTGGCTCGCATCCTCCAATTGACGGGTTCTGGCATGCCACACATCATCTGGAACATCATAGCCCTGTAGTCCGAAAGTTCCCTCGATCTTCTTCCGCTTCTTGGCCTCGGGATCTCGGCCTTCGATCTCTGCTACAAAAGCTGCAGGAAGAGCCCGGCGCACTGCCTCGGCAGCTTGCTCTTCTAACCGGCGTGCCTCGCGCTTCTGTGCCATTGGGTTCGGGTCGACCGTTGCCCATCGTACGTTAAGAATTTCCTACTTGTGTGTTAGTACCTATGTATCATAGATCGCATCTCGCTGGCTGATATATTGAACTTACCTCATGGTCCAAGCTTTGGTTCTGCATCGCAACTAGACTTTGCTTATGTGTTAGTTCAGTACAGACAAGAGAGCTTGAAAAATGGGACCTCACGCAAACTGCGCATTACTTTCTGACGAGTAGGTCACAAAAGCCACGCCCCGTCCGGTAAGCACTCTGGTTCTTTCGATTTGACCCCATTCGGCAAAATGCCTTGAGCACACTTCTTCAATATCATCGCTGGATGTTGATTAGCAATAAGTTTGAAGGATAACTTTTCGGGAAACTCACGAAACTGTAATCCGGCCCACGTAGATTGTCCTATTTTGGCGTGTGAACGAGCCCACTCCGGACATATCCTAAGTCAAGTAGCATTAGCGATTATTTCATACCGAAACAACATCTCCCAATCACAAATACATGATACGCACTTCCTTGTAATCGCTGTGCTTGTCTCTCCCTAGAGTCTGTAGTCAGTTACCCGATCTCAATTCTCAAAAGCAAGGCTGGAAATGATACTAACCAAAGCAGTCCATGTTAGGGTTGAACCTATAAATGACGTGATTAGCCAAGTTGCTTTGTAACGGATGAGCCCAACACTCGAATCGTGTACGGCGTGGGAATGACACTAACATATCATGAATTGTCGGTAGACGATGGAGGTATTCACAGTCCTGACCTTTCACACAAACACCTCGCGCAAAATGGATGCTAGATAAAACCAAAAAAAGGATTAGCAGATGTCCACTGCGATACCCAAGATAACCGTAAAAGTCATGAATTCTCTTACCAGAAGAATGACCCCGGAATGCGATCGGCGCGAGTGTATCCCGAGTCACGCGCAATATTGCAGCGACTGGGCGCGGGTTGACTGAGGCCATATTTGTCGTCGTTGTCGCCGCTTTTGTTGTACCAAATGTTATAGTCTAGTCCCGGTTGCTGCGCGGGCTCGGCTTTGATAGTTGACGCGTCGACTTGTATCCTCGCTGGGCGTTTCTTCCTGCGAATGATCTTGGTCTTTTTAACTGATTGGAGCTGCTGATCTCCTTGCAGAGTGTCGCCTGCGGTGCCGGTTGTCGCCACAATCCTGTCTTCGGCATTATGGTCAAGGGTTTCGGGGTTGGTGATGGAAATAGGAGCTGGTGGCTCAACAACCGAGGTATCTGCCATGGTCGTGTTTGTATTGGAGAGGTTAAGTTGAAAGGTTAAGCTCGAGCTTCAAAAAAAAAGGTCGACGTCCTCCGTTCCAACTGAAGTGCTTACATAATGCTTGGCAAGTGCTTAGGTGTGGGCACGTCGGTGGGATTTGGTATTTCCCTCTCTGAGGCACAACGAAGCAGAGAAAAAGATTTAGTGATTTCGCAGGCGACAAGCCTCAGCAACCGACAATATGGTGAACATTACGGAAAAGATTAAGGAGTATGTTTCTTGTCAATTGTTGAGAAAAGCAATTTGCTGATGTTTTACAGGATCGAGGATGAGATGCGTCGAACGCAAAGTAAGTGTTCTTATCTTCAGAAACCATATAAAACCCCGCTAATGACCCATAGAGAACAAGGCAACAGGTAAGATGTTCTTTTGATCGAAGGAAGATTTGATCTAATTTCCAAATCTCCAAATCAGAATACCATTTGGGTCTGTTGAAAGGGTATAGTTTTGATCCTCTGACTCCAGTTTCAAACATAAACTGACGATGTTTTCAGAAAGCTTGCTCGGCTAAGAGCTCAGCTCTTGGAGCCAGTGGGAGGTGCCGGCTCTGGTGGTGGCTCAGGATTTGATGTCAGTAAGAGCGGCGATGCACGAGTGGCTCTTGTTGGCTTTCCCTCTGTCGGAAAGTCCACATTTCTGTCTAAGATCACCAAGACCAAAAGTGAGGCTGCAGCATACTCTTTCACCACTCTGACAGCTATTCCTGGAGTGCTAGAGTATGGTGGTGCTGAGATTCAGATTTTGGATTTGCCGGGTATTATCGAAGGTGCCTCCGAGGGCAAAGGCCGTGGTCGGCAGGTTATTTCTGCCGCAAAGGTGAGAAGACTAGCCTTATTTAACGAGAAAGAGTACAGAAATTCTGACCGAACATCTGATTATAGACAAGTGATTTGATCTTGATGATTCTGGACGCCACGAAGCGTGCCGAACAGCGAGCTTTGCTCGAGGCTGAGCTTGATGCTGTGGGCATTAGGTTGAACAAGGAACCGCCGTATGTCACATATTATCCGAAGTCATGCGTGTAGACTCAAATACTGATACAGCTATAGCAATATCTACTTGAAAATCAAGAAGGCCGGTGGCATGAAGATCTCTTTTGCGACGCCACCCAAAAATTTGGATGAAAAGATGGTTTACAACGTGCTTCGAGACTACAAAATTCTTAACTGTGAGGTGCTCGTGCGAGATGAGAATGGTATGTGGTATTTTGATGCGACATCCAGGCCAGATTACTGATTGCAACCCCGATAGCTACGATCGATGACTTTATCGATGTGATCATGAAGGACCACCGCAAGTACATCCGCTGGTAAGATTCACACTTATGATAACTGATGTCCAGCTAACAAATGCTAACATTGTTCCTTTTTCTGATAGTCTTTACGTGTACAATAAGGTCGACAGCATCGGCCTCGAATTCCTTGATGCCCTTGCCCGTGAGCCTTACACAGCCGTCATGAGTTGTGAACTTGACCTCGGCGTGCAAGACGTTATTGAACGCATCTGGAAGGAACTGAGATTAATGCGACTTTACACAAAACGGTATGATACATCCACGATTTTTAGTTTCATTGAGGTGTCTGACCAGTATCGCATCTATAGAAAGGGAGAGGATCCTAAGTTTGATGAGGCGCTGATTGTACGCAAGGACTCCACCATTGAGGATGTTTGTGACCAGATTCACCGTACAATCAAGGATACATTCAAGTACGCGTTGGTGTGGGGAGCGAGCGCGAGACATGTTCCGCAGCGGGTAGGATTGGCACATCTGGTTGCTGATGAGGATGTCGTATCCATAGTGGCCAAGTAGAACTTAGAGATCGAGAGCGATGATGAAAATGACACGAATACAAAGAGCTTGGGCCTGAAATTAGGTTTTTGATGCGGTTGATTTCATATACCATGCATGAATCTATGAACAAAATACACAAAAAAAATGCCCTAAACAACCAGTTGATCCTCCAAGAACCAGAACTCCTACCGCAATTACGTTGGCATATTTAGGCAGCACGGGCAACGGCAGCAGCAGCGGTAGCAGCGGCTACCACGTTCTGCTGGCCAATGGTGGGTTGGACACCCACACGCTCCTTAGCGAGCAGGTCGACCAGAAGAGGGCTGGGGCGGCTGTCACGTTGGGGGTAGAGGCCAGCCTGGCTGTTCTTGTACTTCAGCACAGAGTCCAAGTAAATGTCGAAGAGGTAGGATGAGTCGAGAGGACCGCCCTTGGCTTCGGGGTGGAACTGTGTGCTGAAGATGGGACGAGACTTGTGGATCATGCCTTCGTTGCTCTGGTCGTTCAGGTTGATGAAGTATGGCTTCCAGTCCGAGGGCAGAGTCGAAGCATCAACGGCGTAACCGTGGTTCTGGCTCGTGATATGGCAGCGACCAGTGCTGAGGTCAAGAGCGGGAATGTTGTGAGCCCGGTTTCCGTACTTCAGCTTGATGGTGCTGGCACCGGTGGCAAGAGCCAGAAGCTGGTGGCCCAGGCAGATACCGAAAATGGGGACCTGGGAAGTCTCCATCAGACGCTTGAGGTGGTAGACGGTGTCCTGGCAGTGAGTTGGGTCACCGGGGCCGTTGGAGATGAAGACACCATCAAAGTGGTGGGCGACCTTGTGGATGGGGTAGTCGAAGGGGAGGACAGTGACGCTGGAGCCACGACCGACCAAGCTGCGGAGAATGTTCTCCTTAACACCACAATCGATGACAGCAACGTGGGAGTGAGGGTCAGCAGCAGCAACGTGGAAAGGCTGCTTGGTGCTGACCTGGCGCACCAAGTGGATTTGCTCGGGGTCAGTGAAAGCCTCATCCTCGTTGGCATCGTACTCTTCGCCAACGGTAATACGGGCCAGAGAAGAGCCTTGCTCACGCAAATAGGTGACTATAGCACGAGTGTCAACACCAGAGATGGCAGGAACGCCTTCACGGGCACACCACTCGCCCAGACTTTGGACAGCTGTCCAGTGACTGTATTGCTCGGCGACATCGGCAACAACAACACCAGCCGCCTGAATGTTGGGGGATTCAAAGTACTTCAAAAGTCCATTGGAATCCTTTTCAGCGGAAGGAACACCGTAATTACCGATCAGAGGTTGGGTGAAAACCAAGATCTGACCACGGTATGATGGATCGGTGAGGGATTCGGGGTATCCAACCAGGGAGGTAGTGAAGACGGCTTCGCCGGAGATGTTGGAGCGGGCACCGAAAGATTTGCCTGAGAACATGGGACCATCACGGATAGTGAAGGTGGCAGGCTCCATAGCGGCACGCTGACGCACAGTAGCCATGAAGCGGGCCTGGACAGGGCGCTTCATTGAGGCAAAGACAGAGGCCCGGGAAGGCATTGCCTTGAAAAGGTTGGAAATCATTTTTTTTTAAGCAAGAATTTGTAAATCAGTATAAAGCTTTGTGGTATTCAGTTGATGTTGGCTTTCCAGAGGTGGTCCGAGATATAGTCCTGGGAGGTGAAGATCGAGGGTGCCAAACACATAAGCGCGACTGAGCAGATGGCAGTCAGGGTATGGTAGAGAGATGGGGGGGGGTTCGCTATTTAGCGCAACATGAAGATCTTATTTGTGTTGGAATTTTGGGGTGGAGAGATTGTGAAGAGAACTGGAAAGAAGGGAAACTAGAGGGTTTTCACCCCCGACCCCGGGGGGCACGTGCTTTCACCGACTTTGCCGGTGTCGGCCCAATCGTATCGCGTCAAAATCTGTTATCGGCTTGGAGCATCTGACTCATCTAATCCATGGACCGGGTTCGGCCTGGACAATGATATCTTTTAGGGCTATCAGGCACAAAGAATTGGTCAGCTTTTTTAATGGGATCATCACATTTATACATTTTTCAAGGATGGGAAGATTATATCAATCTTCGAGATAGTTCAGTAATGTCCTGGATCTTGTCAACTCAACTTCGTACACAGCAAACCGCGTACCAGCATTATTGCCCCACCAAATGGCACATTGCAGTAACCCTGCACCTTGCCTGAGCCATTGACCACTAGGAGGTGCTCAATTATCGTTCTTTTGTGTGGGAAACCTGCCGTTCAAATGCAGAATCTCGGTAGGTTTGGCTGTGTCACAGACGGGGTTCCTCTAGGCTCGGGGTAACAACATAGTGTTCATGAGAAGCAACGCTGGCGGCCAAGGGTAATACCACGGCACATTATTGAAAGGAAGGTAGCACCAGCTATAAGTATCACCTCGAAAACAAGGTAAAATGGTCATGACAGGTAGACTCCATTATTCGCATACAAAAATTAAACAATGATTTTGTCTCAATATTTACGCCCTGCCCTACTGGTATTCCTCCTGCCCTCGGCAGCTTTTGGACGCTCTATTCCCTTAATCCTTGGAGACAACACCCAGGGTCCACTTCTGAAGCCAGGATGTGATGATGGCACTGGAATAGTTGACCCAGATGGCAAATGCAATGGCACTGGGGTTGTGGACGACCCAATGCCCCATGATCGAGAAGGATTCCAGTTCGAGAACCCATCCACAGATTGCAAATATGCGTCTCAACCGCATATTTGGGACTCATTCAAGCATCTTGAGAAGGACATGAGCAAGCTATTCACGCTGATCCACAAAAATGTCAGCTTCACTGTTGTCGGGCATCACCCAATCGCCGGCCGCTACCACGACCTGATGCACTTCTACGTCAACGCTCTACGTCGAGTCAGCATGTTGTTTTTTGACCACGCAGATCTGTTTGAGATCCACCCCCAGGGAATCTATGGTGGATGTAACGCTGAATGGTCAGTGGAGGAAATTCAGTTCAAAGGTGTAATGAATTCCGGTGAGTAAGGATATGTTTTCGTCTTCAGCATTGCAGTTTTCCTGACTCACTACAGGCGACAAGTTCGATATTATTAATGTTTGGGTTACACGCTGGCATAATGGCCAGATGATAGAGATCCGCACGTACATCGATGCACCGATGATCATGGATGCGCTGCACAAGAATGAAATATGGTGGAATGGCACAACTCTCCGGGACAATCTCCAGTATATGCCGGGGCCAGCGGGGATGCCAGATATGAAGGAAATTGAGGGAATGATGGGATATCCAGATGGAAGCAAATACAATGATTAAACCGAAGCGTGAATGCTAAAGAGAGGAAAAAGATCAAGTGTACCTCCACCGATGTAGTATTGTGTACGGAGTGCTCCGCAGTTCAAATTCAAAAGGGGAAGATGTCTAATTTTCTTGGCACTCAATCTACCCAACTCCCCGCAAAGATCCCCATAATTCTCCAAATATGTCCGAGTCAACGCCTCGCAAGCGCTCGCGTTTAGCCTGCACTTTGTGTCAGTCACGAAAGCGCAAATGTTCAGGTGGACAACCTTGTAGCACCTGCGCCCAAACTGGAGCGGAATGCCAATACAATGCGCGCAAGAAACGCCCCAGATCCCATAGTCTGTACCAAGCGAGCCTGTCACTTAGTGAACGACCTACGGATGGTTGGTCTAATGCAGTTCCAAATACTATCAGTGCCGGAGCAAATGCTGCGGTACAGGCTTCTCCCCGCCGTACCAGTCCAGAGGGCGTTACCAATTCCCTACAGGCCAATTCTGGGGCCGCGTTTGTTCGCAAACTTGGGCTCAAAATTGACCCAGCGCATGCACCACGGTTGCAATTGTTTGCTTGGAATATTGGCGAGAGGCGGATATCGCCAACATCATCATCGGCACTTCCCTCATTGCCTACCACGGCGCCGACGCCGACGACTATCACCAAAATCTTATCCCAGGAAGAGATGCGGCGGCTAGCAGCAATTTACTTCGAGAAGATTGATTCATGCTATACATTTCTGGACCGTAAGACGATATTTCGTCGAATAGCAAAGCGCTGGGAATCTATGTCATCTCCTATCGACACCGCGGAACAGCCCCATGATGCTGTACTATGCGGCGTGGCTGCCTTCGGGCATCTATTTTCGCGGCGCGAGATCATAGCAATAGAAACTCAACTTGTTGAGGCCGCGCGCATTCTACTGGATAAGAGCATCCTCGCAGCGGAAACACCTTCGGTTGACGTAGTGACAGGGTGGGTGTTGCGTGCTGCGTATCTACGCATGACCGCCTCACCACATGCCGCGTGGATGGCCAGTTGTACACTGATGCATCTCATCGAAGCTGCAGGATTGCACCTTAAAACTTCAGATTCTGAAGCAGCGGCCCTGCTCCAAACATCACCTCCCGAAACACACGATAGTCAAGATGGCGACATGGAATACCAGGGCACCAGCGACCCTGAAACTCGGCGAAGACTATTTGGCATGGCTCGCCACCTCAACACATGGATTTCCTTCGACCTCGGTCGCTCCCGTGTTGTTCTTCACGGCGCCACAGCTCTCTCCCCCACAAGCATACCCCAACCACGCAACCCACAACATCAAGCACCACCCCGAGTCCCACGCGCAGACCTATTCCACCTCCTCCCACTCTCTGAAAAGCTCGACCCTACAGGGCCATCACCGCAAGACCTTTCGGAACTCGAAACAGCCCTCACCTCCGTCCTGGATATAGTCTACTCCGAACCCTCGCTAATTTTAGTCCAATGCAACCTTATGCTATGCATATATCGTCGTCTCCGCGCTCTGAATCCACACGGCCCATTATCCTCTAACCTCCTTGACCGCGTCCTTGCACTGGCATGCCGTGGGCTCCGTGCCGCTCGAGGAATGGTCGCCTTAAGCTGCCCCTGGCACCAAGTTGCCAACGTCCCATTTCAGGTCGTCTGCTCACTTCTAGCGATTGACAATCGGGCTGCGTTGGCGTTGCTCGCTGATGCGATGCGGACTCTGCGTGAAGTTCTCACTGCCTACGATACAACTTCTATGCGTGAGGCGTATTCTACGGCATACCTACTTATCGCGTTGCATCAGCGGCGAAAGGAGGATGATACCCGGGCTCTTGCCGAGGTGTTGCGGGTCAACGCTGCTGCCGCGGCTCCAGCGGACGACCAGAAAGATAGGTACATTGCAAAGACACCTTTGTCCGATCAGAGCCAAAGGCCGGAACAGGCTGCGCTAGACGGGCTAGTATCAGATGCGGAGTTCTCATGGCTGGGTGATTTGATGATTGATATGCCTAGTCTGCAAAACTTCGACCTGGACCAATTCTTGATGACGGATGTCCCATGGCCTTTACCCGAGATGGGAATTTGAGGTAGTTTGATCGGAGTTTTCCATACTGATGCACTGATTGCATAGATTGTAATACAATTCCTAATTCGCTCCTGCCGTCGGGGAGTTTTAAGACCCCTTCCTCCCTGATTCTGACAGGCCAACCACTACAACTCCCCTCCCTTTCTTTCATCTCCACTTTTGCGTTCTTAAATTCAATCCTACTGGGAGCATTATGGAATGGAGAGGGACAACTAGAAGAGATTAGATGGACATCGGTCTCCGCTCCACCAACGGGTGGAATTGTAGATCATTTTTTTCAACTTCCAACGCAAAGTGGAAAATGCAAATCAAAAACTGTTCAAAAGAATCAATTTGATCCTCCAATATCTTCTGACTTCTGACATGTTCAAAGCCGAATGGGTCGAGTTGGTATTTCGAAACTTCTCGAAACTTCCATTGTCCATGTCACCACGTCAAGACTTGATGCCTGACGTCACTTGGGAGACACCTAGATGACTGACATTCAAGTACACTACAATTCCAGTTCCTTATAGGCTCTTTGTGCTCTATTTCATCTATGTCATGACATTCAACCCGTGTGTTTCCATATTCACTTGATTCTCAATTCTCTTCAAAACGCATGATCCGCCTTTTCTTTTCGAACCTTCTACATCATTCGCGAAGCACACCGCACCATCTCTCACTTCCCACGCAGGATTCTTTAACCTGTCAGAAATCACCGTTGGTACATAAAAGTACACATCCGCTTTTAAGCCCACGCTTTTTGAACACCTTTTTGCATTTTCCACAAATCAAACTTTACCCCGCACTATGGTTGCTGAAACCAAGCTCTACGACGCTTTGAGCGTCAAGCCCGATGCCACACAAGATGAGATTAAGAAAGCATACCGCAAGGCAGCATTGAAGCACCACCCCGACAAGAACAAAGACAACCCTCAGGCTGCTGATAGATTCAAAGGTATATTACCCCGCACAGGTTCGATTGGCCAGACATGACTGACAGTTTCTCAACAGAGGTGTCGCAAGCCTACGAAGTCCTATCCGATCCCGAGAAACGCAAGGTCTACGACCAGTTTGGCCTCGAATACTTGATGCGTGGCGGCCCACCCCCACCCCCGCCAGGGGGAGGCGGAGGAGGTGCAGGTGGCTTTGACGGTGGCATGCCCGGAGGATTCAGCTTTGGCGGCATGCCCAACGGGGGAGGAAGCCGGAAGTTCCACTTTTCCACAGGTCCCGGCGGTGGTGGTGGATTCAGATTCAGCGATGCCAACGACACTTTCCGCACCTTTGCCAAGGACGGCGGCAGTGGCATGGGCGGTATGGGCGGTATGGGCGGTATGGGCGGTATGGGCGGTATGGGCGGCATGGGCGGCATGGATGAAGAAGACATTATCTCGATGTTCGCAGGAGGACTGGGCGGCGGCGGCAGCGGCTTCCGTAGCAGCCGTCCCGGATACTCGAAACCGAAACGCGCACCCACACCCGAGCCAACTATCATTGAGAAGGACCTACCACTCACTTTGGAGGAAATCTACAATGGTACCTCTAAAAAAGTCAAGACGAAAAGCAAGGCCTTTGACAGTATGGGCAAGCTCACCACCAAGGAAGTGACTTTGGAAGCCAACATCAAGCCAGGGCTGCGTGCTGGCTCGAAGATCAAGTACAGAAATATCGGGGATCAGGAAGAGGGGGGACGACAGGATGTTCACCTAATTGTAAAGGAGGTATGAGATCGTCCCCGACTGACAATTAGACTTCATGAACCATTGCTTACAACCTTTTACAGATCGATCATCCTTCTTTCAAGCGTTCTGGTGACAACCTTATCACAACGGTCGATCTCAGCCTGAAGGATGCACTGACTGGCTGGGACCGCATTGTCCGCACTATCGACGGGAAATCAATCCGTGTGTCAAAGCCCGGTCCAACCCAACCCGGTCATGAAGAGCGTTATCCTGGCTTGGGCATGGTGAGCTCCAAGAACCCTAGCAACCGCGGCGACCTAATCATCCGCGTCAACGTCAGCTTCCCGAATAGCTTGACTAGCTCCCAAAAAGACATTCTCCGGGATGTGCTGCCTTAGAAAGGATTTGATTTCATTGCATATACCTGGCGTTTGGGGTTAGCGGGAGCGGACAATTTAATGACAACGACACGAACCAACTTTTGTATGTTTCTCAATGATCTCTTTTATGCGACAGACTAGTTTTTCTGTATAGAAGGTTGCCCACCTGGAGGCCTTGATCAAACCTTGTAATATTACATGTGTTGTAGTCTAACCCAATTGAGCGAATGCGGAGAAACCAGTGACACCTTGGAGAAACCAACCTGGCAATTCGTCATTTCTGTTGTACTTTCGTTTCACTCGATATCCCTTGATTTATTTACACAAACTATGAAACGAAGAATCACCCTAATCCAGCGCGTTGATGCTGGATTCGACCCGCAGCAAGCTGTTTTAACCGCATCATCCCTCTCCATCCGCGGCCTGGACGCCGCGCGGGAGGATCGAATTACGATTGGACTAGACAAGCTCCCAGAAGAGGTGAGAGGGAATTGGTGACTGCAGAACCTACTGGGAATTGAACAATGCTAACCTGGTATAAATTTGTCGTGTTTAGTTGCGTACTGTCCTTGAGCAATCCCATGAGCTCCACCTCCGCTGGGCCTCCGAGGGGTCTTTTGATGCTGTCGTGCCATTCAGCAGCCGGGTTTCACCTGGTTTGCATGTGCATTATACTCCGCTTAATTCGGAATCATCTTCGTGAGCTCTTTTTTACATCTTGGGGTTGGGGGAAATGCGATTGATTGATTTGGTTATCGATAGGGAGGCACTGTGCACCCTTCTCCACACGATAGTCGCGCCCAACAAAGACGCTCAATATAAGAGTTGTTCGAAGCAGGAGGTATCTTGCGATTTTTTCTTTCGCTTCGGGACAACTCCCTGTCCACGTTTTTGCATGTGTTCGATCTGACCTGTAATCTGCCACACAGGCATCGTTCATCACACCCCCGCCATTATCGACACGATTCGCTTCCTCGGCCTCCCTACAATTTTACACCCACCTCCCTTCCATCAAGCATCTGGTCGAATATATTCAGAACACTGTCTGTGATCAGAGTCGTACAGATGGCCCCGAGTGCCACACCCGGGCCGATGCTCTCCTCTCCGCAGACTCGGTCGATATCGACTATGACAGCAGTTCGCACGCCTTGACTGTGTCCGGGCTCTGGACTAGTCCACCGACGGGCGGTTGGACCGATCAATTTCAGACGCCAGCATCCGATGCCGATCAAATCGAGTTCGGTCTCTTGGGCGCCGAGGCAGGACTTGAGCCAGAGGAGATCAAGATGGGCGGGCTGTTAGCGGTTGTCGGACAGGACAAGAAGCTAAGTATGTGCCCTCGGCATTTCTCATGTCGCTAGTCTTTCTTCTATCGCGGGGTATCCTAAAATGCTCGACTGACCCTTTTATAGAACCAACCATGTTCTCATTCCCCTCCCGTCACCAACCTCTCACTGAACCGTCGAGCTATACCGTCTCATTCGCTCCCCCAACTGGTCTTCATCCAACGATGTCTATATCTATGCCCCGATCATCCCTCAAACGACCACCAGCACCCAGCGATGCAACCTGTGCTCTACACACATACCTCACACTCCCCTCCACCATCTTCGGAGATCAATACCAGCTCGCCACAACAGATCCACTCTTCCTCGAGTCACACAAACTCGTAGCTCTGCGTGCCTTGGCAGGCGAAATGGATCTTGAAGCCCCGGACTGGGTTGTTCAGCGCTGGGGCTCAAACTGGCTCCTCGAACTAACAACCCCCCCAGAAACCGAAGACGTGGCCAGCATACCAGACCCCTCAAACTGGACTTCTACCATTCCTCTACACCTGCGCTACCTGCCGCCATCCGAAACAGGGCATCGCACTGCCCACGTTCCCTGGCCCGTCGTCTTCTGGGCCTGTACTACCGAGGACGACACGAAGATGGGTATTAATCCCTTCGACCGCTCAAACCTCGGCTGGGATAGCTTGTTCGGTCCGCGAACCCTGTTCTACCAGCTTCAGCCTGCGGGTGATCGTCTTGTTGAGGAGATCGATGTGCCGGTTCTACGTCTTACGGGAGATGGCTACTTCCAGGGTAAACACATCGAGCTTGGCACTTGCGTGGTTATCTCTCTTGGGTTCATGTGGGTGCTTTGGCGACTTGTTTGTGTTGCATGGCCGTCTGGTGCTGGAAGTAAACGGGCCGAGACTGCGCACAATAAGAAAGAAGAATAGGGTTATATGATACTCGGTGGTTTACTCACTACCGTTGACCTTTCTCATCCTTTTTTCCCTCTTGATTTCAAAGTGTTCGTCTTGCGAGTGTCTATATGAGTCTTAAAGCAGGAACCCTAAAGCATGGACCTTTTCAGTATTACAACTTGAGCGACCCTCACAATATTGATAATTGAGCGTGGACTTCTTGATGTGTGCCCTCTTGCGTGACATCAAAGAGCAGAACGGCTGTGGTTTCCCCGGCATAGCTGCATCCTTAGCCAACGGTGTGATCTCCGGGCATTAAGTGGCGGGTATCCATGATGGCTGAATCGCTGTGACATGGTCCTTGGAGTTTCTAGCTGCTGGTAGAATGGTATGAATGATCCAGTTTGTTCCCTGGGCTTTGGATAGCCTGTAATGTAGTTTGATAAAACTAACGAATGATAGCAAGATGGGATTGTGGATCTATGAAGGCTGGAGGCCATTACTATTGGCATTGGTGACTTTGAAAGTACATCACTAGAGACTCTGATGCCAAAGACCAGTACGCCAGCTCCCCTGCAAGTGATTGGCAAATCTGCCATATTTTCAGGATGGTATCCGGTCGCCAAGAAGGGTCCTATGTTCCGTAAATGCAGATTCTGAAATGAGAATGAACATATTTGTACAAGAGAGTGCTAGCATAAGGCATGGCTGGAGTCGTGGTGGTAGCTGTTCCACAGTCCCGGTCTCATTGTCTCAGTCATCTTGATTCATTGGCATTTTTGGCCACCATTTTGTTGCAAGTCATAGGAAAGTTCCCATTAATGCTTCAAAGGACATGCCAAAGCATTGGTTGGTGTCATCTCATATGGGTTGGGTTCGTTCCTTGGTTTCTCATTTCTCGTTTCTCGGCGGCCGCGGGGATGACAGGGTAAGTATCACAGTCTGAGCAGTGCTTGACTGTGATACGAACCGAAATTAGAAAATGTCAAGAGTCAAGCAATGTATGGTATTGAACCAACAAGTTCTTGCACTTAACGTGCTGATTCCTCGTTCTCTGGACAGAACTGTTGTCTATCCTTGGAGCGCTGATCAGGAGGGCCCCACGTAGACTGGTATGCGCACATTGAGTCCAGCTCAAAGCACCACCGCAGTCGGTCGAACAGCGGGCACTGCATCTCGGAAGTGACATCGTATGTCACCAACTGTCCTATCTTACCCGTGCTCAGTCGGGGCTTTTGAGAGGTAGAGAGTGGTGACACTCTTGCGAGCCAGCCAAAACAGCGTGTAAAGGCCATTTAATAAGTTGTCTATGATATCCAAGGTAAGCAGATTTTCTCATGGAGATTGATCATCGAGGTACCACAATTCAGCAGTCTGATCTGGTTGAATAGGGAAAGGAGACTTGGTCAAAATTTGTGAACACTCCCTGTAACGAAAGAAATATCAGGTGTTTATGGAACTGCCAGTTTGTGGTGATAAGGTGCATGTAAAGAGGCAAGAAAAAGGATGGGAGCTTGACAGGAAAAGCCGGGAGAACACAGGTTTATAGCCAGGTTTGAAGCACAGAATTTTTAAGAACAATATCAGATTTGTTCCATAAGCTACTGTCGAAGTATTTAAAAAGCATAGCAGACAGGAAAAAAAGGGGGAACAGGTACTGGGACACGGAGGGCTCCGTGGAAAGGTCCCAAAAGTTGGCCCAAAGAAGATAACAACAGAGCTCCTTGGTTCAGCTCCTGGCGGACAACTGAAGCACTGGGAAAAGTACAGTCTATATCCGCGGTCATAGCTAAGCGCATCAAGCATCCGAAGTTAGCCAGTCAGTAGCTCGCATATGTACACTTCATATCATTCGCAGCCTAGTCTAGGCCCCATACAGAGACCTGTCAGAGTCCTCAGGATGACACTAATTGCATCCACATGTTGAATCTGAACCTGAAGCCGAGGAAGCTCAAAAAAGTGTTGGGTGTCTAGGGAACCACGGAGTGCAATGTAGGCCCGGAGGGGTGAAAGAAGGAAGAAGGAAGAAGACGAAGAAGAAGAAGAAGAAGAAGAAGAAGAAGAAGAAGAAGAAGAAGAAGAGGGAAGTGAGAGAGGGAGGGATATTTATTTCTTTCCAGTGGCTGAAGGCGATTGGGAACTGGGATGTTTAACGATTTTTGACCCAAAAGGGAAGGCACACCTGGTAAAAAGCAGGGACCCGGTTTCCAGAGCTGCAATCCGTCAAATCGGGTGTCACAACGGCTCGGCCCGAACCTACACGACACGAACCTCCATGGGATCCAATTCCTAGGTACAGGGCTGTGGCAGCTTGCAAAATCCCTAGGATCATGCTCTCGTGTTCAAAATAGGAGACATGGGAGATACCTACCTGTGTGTCATTCACCTCTTGAATTGACCGATCCTTCACCGAGGTGGGTTTCGAGATGTGTGCCCCAAGCTACAGGCGAGGAACGTATTGGACACCAAGTATGCGAGGACATGGTCAAACAAGAGCTTATTGAGAAAAGAACACACGTTTCTATATGTAATTTAATGTATCTACCTGTTATATACATAAAGAACGACAGTCTACATTAAGCTTGCATTAAGTGAGGTTACTCCAACTTCTCCTCTACAACGACATAGTCACGAATAACAGCTGTGCCATTGACCACACTTGCAATCTGATCTTTAGTGCATGTCGATTCCAGAGCAAGGATGTAGCAGACGGGATCCGGACTCTCCGGGACCTTGTTCTTAATGTGCCAAGTAGACACAGGCCCCTGCGTGGTATATGAGCCATTCCGTGCAGTATTGATCTTGCCTGTAGCTAGATCGCGGTTGAAGAGCGCACGGTAGAAGATCTCATATGCAGTCTGAGGCTGATAAGCTGGGACTTCATGACCAGCATCGTAGACACGAGTGAAAGAAAAGTTGCCATGCTGCCGGACCTGTCCGCCAATATATGAGGCGTTTGTGCGCAGAGGCGTGTACCCAGCAGACCGGAAACCAGAAGCACCAGCATGATTGACCAACAAGCTGGCGTCTTCACCCCCAATCCAGTTGCAAGCGTAGTCGCTGTCACCGTAGACGAGAGCGACCTTGATACCGGAGTCGAGCACGTACGCCAGGTCCTCAAGGTAGCCATGCACGTCAGAACGCGGATAGTCTCCAACAGATTTGAAAGCATTGTAGGCACCATCGCTGGATTGGGTGAAGTTGACAGGGACTCCCAGTGCGCCTTGCACCCAGTGCTGGTTCAGCCAACCCAAGTAGTAGGACGGCGGGAAAGGGTCTGGGTTCTTGTGGGTGATGTCGTAGTAGCCGCGGTCTGAAAATTCTAGGTAGGCACCTTCAACGTTGTTGCTACAGAACCTGTCGGCGTTGTGGCACGCTTGGTTGACGGTATCATTGTTGCCGTGCATTTGCGGATCGCCCTCTGCGGCCAGCGCGCGACAATGCGTGATGAGGTCTTTGCATCCGCCCGGACGACTCCACGCATCCATAGCGTGATCATATACGGTCTTGTTGATGGCTTGAATGTCGTAGGTATTATTGTATGCCATCACTGGATATGTCGGTTCCTGCACTAGGAGATCGATGCATCCGTTGATGATACCCAGGGTATCCAGGTGGACGTAGTGTGATTCCCCCGGGGTATTGATGCTGCCATTTTTGATCTTTTCGTTTTGTTCCTGGAAGAAGGCAGTGAAGGATGGGCCGTAGCGGCCGCCGTATGACTCAGTCCAGATGCTAACCCGCTCATCATGGGGTTTGTAGTGTGGAAACTCAGTGAACCAGGTCTGAGCAAAGTGCCATAGTGACCGCGCGGAGTTCTCAGTACTATTAGCTACCGTTGACTTGTCTTGGCTAGCTGTCGTGCCAACGTAGAATGTGTTATTCTGCTTGGGCACCCCGACCCAATCCGACAAGTTCCAAGCACCTTGAACTTGATCAAAAGTACCGTTGGTCGGAACATCATAACTGAAGCCGACCTGGTTTGGCTGGTCAATATAAAGCATGTTGACATAGTTATTCCAGGACCAAGGATTAAGCTCGGTGGAATTGGAATCCTCGTTGACTAGACAGGGCCCATTTTCCTGCATGAGGCCAATCATAGAGGAGCTTCCTGGGCCTCCATTCATCCAGATGGACAGTGGCGCATTCTTGGGGTTATGACGGGCCTCAAAAAACCAGAAGAAAGTATTGATCGGGTAGTCTTGATCAACATTCACATCGTCCAGAGAGCCTGGGGGTAGATGGACATAGCCCGAATAAGATCTCACCCCTGGAGTTGTTTCACAGATCCCAGGCTATGCCATTCATCAGTATAAGATTGTATGATACGAACGACCCATTGAACTTTGGAAGGAGTCGCACCTGTTTGTATGAAATCTTTACTCCTTTTTGATGCTGTGATTCAACCACCTTCAACCCATCTGGTATGGGCGGAAAGTACTGGGCCGCAGCAGTTACTACCAGAGCGGCGGTCCAAAAATATATCATAACGTGGAAAGTTTTGGACAGCAAAGAAAGATAAGAAGAGAGAAGAGTTACAAGAAAATTTACGTAGTGAGTCGCATATCCCAAGTGAAAACGGGATGAGGGGAAATGGGGAACCTTGGAAGTGCCAAGACAAGACCACCTGATATTCAATGCCCTAGCTATCTTAGACCACTCCCTTGAGGTTATACGTAGAAGAGTCCATTTCATAAATTAAGCCTTTTTCTAACTTCTTCTACCGTCTTTTTTTGAACTAAAGGCCGGCCAAACAAAGTAAATAGAAAATCAAAAAAGAAAAATTCTAAAAGACTCCCAGAAGACGTCACGAGGCTGCAAAAGCGGCCAACTATCTTTGTTATACAACATCAAAGATTCATGTTCATTCACGACCCTATATGACGGGGAACGTCAAAATTGTATTGCACGATGAGAAATTCAGACCCTTAGGAAAATTCAACATTCTGTAGCTCCCAAATCAAACCCCTCAAACATCTTCGCCCTGAAGTTCTTGATATTTCAATCTTGACGTGGAACAAATACCGTTGACGAATCTGTGCTGGGCATTTTACAAAATACTCTGAGTGGCAATAATCTGAGGTGCCCTCTGCAGCCGTTGTTCTGGCATGAACATCTGGCAGCTGGCACCCCGTGAAATCTGGGTGGATGTATCCAGCACTGTGCCACTTTCTATGAACAGTTCTGCCAACATGGTGAACTGCAATATCCGAGGATGTACCCAGTTCGACTTCACATAGCAAAATCAAAGCTTCCCCTATTTTTCATCAATATCCTGCCGACTTGGTGGACATATCGGCAAAGAAAACTCCAGGAACGAAGTGCTTCCCATTAGTGCCGACAATTCCATCACCACGCAGCCCTCGACTCAATATCCCTGCAAAGTTGCTAGAGGTTGAGCCATGCCAAAGAAGTCGCCGGTCTCCAATATGAGCAAGGTTTGCCCTTTTCCACTGGGCAAAACGCTTTGATTCCCCGGGACGCTCGAGACGGAATATGCCGATGATCTCCTAGGAATGTGAAAGCGTTAGACTGGGCTTTTGACAATATGGTTTGATTGAAACTTGCATCGAATTGACGCGGGTGTATTTAACTAAAAGATTTTTCAACAAACTCCCGGAGCATCTTGAACTCTGTCGAGTTTGCCCTCAGTGTCAAGAAGGGTCAGCTTCAGGCTTTGGTCTTTTGGAAAGTATCCAAGGAATTACGATAGAGAGGCACAAAGGATATATACCTGGGAGCATTTTTGCCAAGCCAAGTACTTGAAATACCTGGCTCATGGCCAATGAAGAAGGCTGGGAGTGTTTTTCCCAGAATCTCGCTGGCATCGTGCAACTTGAGTAAAAGATCGAGAGATTCCAATTCCTGTCTGGCAGTGTCATTGGTATCTGAGAAGGTAAGATCTGTGAGCATCATGCTTTCATAGATCTTGCAGAATCTCTTCCTCGTTATGGAGTGGTCGCCAGGTGCCAGCTGAGGGTCGCTGAGCTTCATCAGCTTGTCTAACACTGCAATGTCAATGAAGAGAATTCTCTTATCCAATTTCTTTTTAAGCAAAACTCTGCGCCCTTGACTGCTTAGGAATTTGAAGTAGTTTTCCAAGATTTTTGATTCGAAGATGATCGTCAGAACGTTTTCAACGCTTGCAGGCAACGGGCGGCTAGTCTCGATGGTGAAGATTAGAGACTCCCAGTGATGCGTTCAAGAAAATTCTAGGCTTCAGAAGGGGAGCTAGCATTTCGATTTTCCCGGGTTAGACCACTGGAAGAAGTGAACTTCGCCTCAAACGCAGATCTGGCAAAGTTGATGTCTCCGAACGCTCCACTTGATTTTGATCCCTTAGTTGAATCAAATTGGTGCTGGACGTTCCACTCATGGAACCATCCTGACTTGTTATCAACTACAACTTGAATGCGCAGAACTTGAACTTTTTAATTGCTACCAAGTTTGACCAACGTGGCATCCCATATCAATCCTGCATCGTCCTGGTAAACGGAGAAACCTTCGGTCTCTAAACCCAACCATGTGTTAGCTGTTCAAGCTCTGAAAAAGAAACCTATTAAGGATCACTTACTTGATCTTGGGTATCTCTTGTCGACCACATCAATCAGCCTCTTGAGGTTGATCTGTTCTTCATCTGTCGTTTTCTTTGAAGGGTTGCCTTCGTCGTCCCCAAGCGAAGCATCTTGCTCATGCTTTTTGTCTTTGAGCTTGATCGCTTTCTTTTTCTCGTACTTGAGTATTATTGCTGAAGAGCTCCTGGAACATGCTTTTTAATCATCTTGAGCAGCCAATCAGTGTTCACAATTTCACAGCCTTCCACTTCACGAGCCCGATTGACTGAAACAACATTACCCTGTTAGTTGACACTTATAGCAGAGGATGCAAAACTTGTTACTAACTTTTTTTCAACTTTCTCTTGCCATTTCCCTCGGTTGTCACTAGATGAGTGCATTCGCGGATGTTCATCGAGGCGAACTTCGCACCACATTGTTCGACCATCCGCTTGATTGTTCCTACATAACGGGGTGTCATTCATCAAATGATATATAGTAAGAGCCTCTCTCTCTTTCATCAACACTGATTTGATTTAAGGGGAAATATACCACGTTGATATCCAGGGGTTGTACCACTGGCGCCGATGACCAAACCCTTCAGATTGTCGGCCAGCTTATCCACTGGCTTGTTAGAAGTCATCTTCCCCGATGAATAGGATCCACACTAAATCTGTCTCTATGTGTGCATTCAAAAGGCAACCAAAGACGAAGCACCCATGAGAAAAACCCCCAGAATATTGTTGTGGGAGAAACGGATTGCCCTTTTAAATCATTGATGGCACTGCAACAATGGCATTGTCAGACAAACAATCCACAAAGAGATTATGCAATGTCTCTCTCATGTCCCCGGCCTTCTCCTTCGACACCTGAGACTGAAAAACAATATCCGAAAACATCTAGCAGGCCAAGTGGCTCATCTGGAAGCACTTTGTGCATCGCATCTAGTACGGTCGAATGCCAGAGAAGGTAAATCTGTGGCTCCTCTGGCATTTACAATATAGGATCATAAGTTGAAAAGTTGAGAGTTGTTGACTAACTTAACTAAAGCAAAGCAACCGTGGAACATCCTTCGCCTGAGAATTAGTGAGACCGGGTGGTTACCCTGAACTCGAGAATGAGAACTGTTACAAGAAACGCCATACCCCCCCTTCAAACTTCACCAACCCATAAATCCGATTAAGGTTGACAAGGAACCGGCTAGTTGCAGGTGAAATAGTTGAAAGCCACAAGAGGACCAAGCTTGATCTCCTCTGCCCAAGCATCAAGATCATACCGGATGCGATTTGAATTGCTAAGCTTCTTGCCACTAGCAGGTGCATAGGCTTTGAGATCAAAATCTGCAGGCTGTTCATACAGGAAGAAGAGGTACCGATGGGGTGCGCTCACGGGTGGGGGAGCGGGGCCGATATAATTCGCGACGAAAGGCGCGTCGAACTCGAGTGCACCCTCGCTGGTGACTTTGATATCGGACTGGATCCAGTGAAGTATGGGGCCCAGGATCCCGAAGGAAGGGAAAGGAGCGTCTATGTCCAAGCTCACAACCAGGTAGGTGCTGGTGGGGTTGGCACCAGTAAAGGAGAGCTTCGGGGGCTCTTGAGCTGCTGTGGCTTTTTTCAGTTCATGTTTCGATTGTTTTTACACAGCCGGGTGGGGGGGGGGGGTGGAGAAGGGAAGAAGAGACCAAGAAATCGTACCTTTGCGGGGAAGCCATGTGCCTGGCTGGACGTTCTCATTACTGCCAATGGTCAAGCCAAGGACCTTAGACTTGTCTTCGATAAGAGACCAGCCCGCTTTGATGTGGTTTTCCGAAGGCATTTTGGATGTCTTGAACCTGGACGCGATGAAGGAATGGGAGAAGAGACCTAGGTTGTGTCCTGCTGTTCGAACACGAAACGAGTTCTAAAATAAAGTCGCACAAGCTTTCGGACTTAGCGCGGAGATAACTTTCTGACCTGTCTCTCCCTTTTCGGCAAGTGCAAATGTTCTTCGATATAAGATCTGTCGTTTCATTGTCCATGATTGGCTTCAAACACCGGCTATCACGGCATCAATTCTTACAATACTCATCGGGCGCGTTGTAAACTAGTTCTTATCCCAGATTTGAGCCCAAACTATGTCAAAACGAAGACAAACGCCGCCAGTTCTAGAAACAGCTCCGTATAGACCATGCTGCAATTTCATGTCGTTTAGAGATCGAGAAGGAAGAAGATTGGTTCAAGTAAAAAGTGTATGCTCACGCAGATCTGACTGCCGTAGGAAAAGTTGACCATATGTCTATCCAGGTGCTGCCCTTTTGCAGCGGCACGTAGCCATCCGTCTGGATCGAAGGTGTGCGGATCATGGCAGATTTCAGGCTCTGTGAGAACAAAGTAGTTGGTCTCACTGACTAGAGTCTAGGTATCGATCATGTCAACATACATTATACAACTGAAGCTAGTAACAATGACTTCACATACTCCAGAAACAATGGTATGGTCTTTCGAGACCAATGCTGTAATAGGTGCGACGCGAGCCGATCAATTCGCAATTGCAGCAGAAATGAAACGAATCCAAACATCAAACCTAAGGTATCTCGTTATCTCAACTAGTTTAGAACTGACACATAACAAAGTTGATAGATGAGTGAAGTCAAAGAATCCCGGCCGAGAAAGGTTGCACTGCCACACTGAATTAGCTATAAAAACGCTGAAATCCAACCTCGAGGCCTACCCAAGGCTCTCTTAGTTAATCTCTCGAGGGGTGCATATAATCTTCGGATCTATTGATTGCTGACTCAGAAAAAGTGGCTATTTTCTCCAGGAGACCTTCAATGACCGAATGGAGAAATTCCTTGGGAAGTTCCTCGGAGAGCCAATTGGGTTCCGCGATATCCACATACACAGGCATAAACAATTTGTGAATTGTAGCAGACTCGGTAGTACTGCTGTATGCATGATTGTTCGCGCTTCCACCGGGATTGTGTTGAAAATCATCTTGTGCATCAGGTGTAGAGCACCTTTCGACAAGTGCGTCGATAACCGAATTCTGAAACTTGTCGTCGAGCAACTTGTCACCGAGCACATACGCCTCGACAAGATCATGGTACTCCCTAGAATGGGTCCCTGCTAATTATTCCAGTGCTGCAGCTTCAACAATCACGGGAATATTTTGGCCAAGTAAAGCCAGCGTGAATAGTAAGCACATATCTTGGGGTCATCTTCCGGGGAGTTCAAGAGTGTGCTCCTTGAATTTCTTCCACAAGCCCGACGGGGCATTTTTGGGAAAGGGAGAAGATTTGCAAATGATTGATTTGTGCACGTCCAAAGGCTAATTTGAGTCCCCAACGAAGATATTCAACTTTGGTCCTTGTATTCCGAGTCAAATTAAGAGCAGAAAACAAGCATTCTCAGCCATGATACTTACTTCTCGACGTCGTCTTGCAAGCTTCGCACTAAAGCTTGAGCCAATGTGGTTGTATTTGATAGATGGCCAAGAGACCTGGAAAATTCGTATTGGCTGGGAAGATTGTAGTTGGCAAGGCGGAAGTGAGAGATTTAAGAGAGAGGTCAATGGTTCGCACCACATTTTTTCGTATGAAAATGTTGCTAAGGTCATGTAGTCGAAGTGTTGAGGGCCGAGCTGATATCTCCGAGATAGATCGAAAGAGCAAGCCCGTCATTTACCAGGAAGCCTTAAATGACAGTTGATCCTTCACCGCGGATGTGGTGTAGTGATGCTTTCTAGAAGTAGAATTTTCTTTGATTTGACCAAAAACTTGTCTTACAAATGAGCCAATAGTGGAAGAAATGCGAGATAGCTGATTGGAGAAAGCCATTTAAAGCCACAGCGAGAGTAAATCATTGCGTAGCAATAGTGTGTTGAAAGATAGTTATAACCCGATTAATCTTGATCAAAATGGTATCAGCAATGCAATATAGCTATATAAAGGTGGCCAATGTGGTATATGTAGAACTACAAGCCGCTTTCTATTTTCCATTCTTTGTGGAAAAGAAAAGTAGATTCGCACGAAGTTTCTAGGGCTATTTTCCACTTTAATAACAGCAAAGCCTTAATGGCAACAGTATACCAGTAGCAGGTCAGATTAGAAAGTTTGAAATAATACGATGATAGAAAAATGAAGAGGACCCAATTTCTAAACATCGAAAGCGAAAACGAAAGAGTTGTCGAGTCTGCAAAGAAGGGCGTGAAGCATCATGGCGGCCTACCGTATCAGGCGACAAGACACCAAGGCACCGAGATGGTCAACATCGGGATATTGTCACGATGCGACATGCTACTGTAGCCATCAAACATACCTGAATGAGATAACTATTGGTGTACAAGGATTTGATTGACTGATTTCAAACCAAAAAAAAATCAAAGTTAAGCGTTTTAAAGAGTGGATTCCGAGTCCGGGAAACACGATATAATGCAACTTGAGCGAAAGCTCTCCAAGTCAAGGGCAAGGAACCCAAATAACCATTTCCAATCGATCTGACCCAGGGAAAAAAAAGCAAATAATCCACCACTCGCTATAATGCAGACACGCTAAAATAAATGGCAAAAAGCCAACAAGACGAACCCTTTTTGGAAGGTGGGAGATGGGTATGGGATAGGCATAGAAGGGTGGAGCCTGGGTGATCTATGAACTCCCAGATGAGTCGAATGTGTATGGAATGCGAAGGAGGTATCGCGAAAAGGTGTGTTTCGAGCAAACAAGAGAAGGAGAAGGCCGAGGCAAGCACAAAGAGGAAGTAAAAAAAAAAGTTAGTCAATCAAAACGCAAGATCACTGAGCCCTGACATGAGGCAAGGTGGCATCGGTGGTATCGACTTTGGTCCCACCGGGGGACTCTTGATGTTCTTCGCGGTCAGCAAGGACGTGTGAATATGACTTCTCAGACTTCTGCCCTTCGGGTTGGTCGATTTCAGCTTCAAGCTTAGCTTCGATCTTGTCGAGGGTCTCTTCGACCTCCGGGGTACCCTCGATGTTAGGTGCAAGCTTGGGGACATCGGGAGACTTTTCGAGTTGAGGAGATTGCTCGGGCTCGAGTACCTTCGCGTCCTCTTTGTACGTCTTGCTCTCCTGCTCGGCGGCCTCGGTGGCAGTGCGATCTTCGAGGGTAATGATCTTATCTTCAATCTCTGGTTCGCCGTTGGCAGATTGGAACTCCTCCTTCTCGGCCACGGGCTCCGATTTCGTGTCAACAAACTCTTCATCATCGCTTGTGATATGAAGTTCAGGTAACGTCTTGGCATTCTCCGGGGAAGGAAGCGCGTTGGGTGACTCGTCCAACTGTTCGAGATTCTCTGCCGCCTCCGTGACGTCTGTGGGCGAAGTGTTGTGGCTTGAATAAGAGCGCCCCGTGGGCGATGTCGAGGCACGGCTTGAGCCAGAGCCTGGGAGGTGGCGTGGGTGCCGCGGAGGCAAGGCAGGTGGGGTGCGCGCGGGAATTGTGACCAGGCGAGCCCGGGTGAAGCTCGGCGACGTAGGCTTGGTGTCACCGTCTGTCGTCTGGTCTTCCACCTTCGTGGGCGTGGGCGGGACGCTCTCCCTTGGTGTGACCGTGGCATTTCCAACCTCGTGAACCTCATAATGCTCATCTTCATCCTCAAACTCGGGGTCATCGTATGCATCTTCGCAGGCGTTCGCTTTCGCTCTCCTATCCTCTGCCTCATCACCCTCCAATTGGCGGACCTTAACCTGCTCTTCCTCGCCATGGATAGCAATCGTGTCCCAGTGAGAATCCTCATTTTCGGCCCAGGCATCCATCGGTGAACGGCCAATGGGCGATCCCTTCGCGCTGCGGGAAGAAGCACGGCTTACTGATGTGGGCTCAGTTAGCGGGGCGTCATCCGTTTGCGTGCCACGGTCGACACTAGCATAGCTTCTGGAGCTCTGAACACTCGCGCGCCAGCTGTTGCGTGGCGAGCTATCCATGCTGCGTCGCGAGAAAGTGCTATAGATGGGACTGTCCAGGTTGGGCCGGAATTCAAATGTCTCATGGCTTGGTCTCACCTTTGTACCAGCCTCGCGGATGAAAAGCCCCTCCGCCTCCAGCGCCTTCACTCCATACGGATCGGGGTCGTCTACGGCCGGCACGCCGAAAGCCGATTTCCCGTCATCCATCAGCTCCACATCACCAGGTGTTTCACCCGGTGGCGGGATCAGACTCTCGTCGACGTCAGAGTCACCCTGTGCGGCCTTCAAGGTCTGCATGAGGGTTTGGAGTTCGCGGGGTGGATGCCGGACTTTGCCGGATAGAATCTCGTCGACGGATACCCGCTCGCCGTAAAAGCGCTCGTTCTCGTCAGTTCGCTCAATCATAATAGTGCCATCGATGGCGACACCTGCGTACAGCCCTTTGCTCTTCATATATGTCCAAATTGGGGCCTGGCGTTTGTGCACCTCGGACTCAAGGACACCACCTATACCTACGGGGCCCGCGGCTGCGCTGACCTCACCCCCGAGCGTACAGCGGAATTTCTTGAATGCATTCAGCGCTTCATAGGTGTTGATGATTACAACGCAATCATAAATATCAACGCCCGCAAGGAAACCTATCCCAGCAGTGTGCAGCATGATGCCAGATGGCGGGCTCCATGCGTCTGTCTCGGGAAGGCGGCCGATCAGTACGCCACTACCCCCAGAACCACTCATCCACAGACCTGTGCGCATGGTCGTGAAAATGGCAACTCCCTTGGCATTTTTGAGGACTTGTGATGGGATCTTCTTGATAACGCGCTGCTTGCCCTTTGGGCGGTTGATCTTGCCATTCTCATCGGTACCGATTGAGGAATCGGGGGAATAGAAGCCGTCTTTGCAGAAGCTACGTAGGATGCGCGCGGCTTTGTCGGCTTCCTTGTCAAGTGTCATGGGCCAGAAGGCTTCGGCGCCCAGCTTGTGCGATAGGCGATTAACGGGGCCGCCGAGCTTGTCAACGGTGTCCCATGCTTTGTCAAATCCCTTTTTTGAGATGCTCTTCGTCTTTTCCCATCGATTTGGAGACATGGTGAGTGGCTGCTAGAAGAGGCTTGAGCGTTGTTTTAGGGTAGCTGAAGCAGCAACAAAGAATCAAATGCGCTTCGCGCCGCGAATGGCCTAAGGCGGGATCTATAAACAGGGTACTATCTGAAACACGACTTGCGCCGCGAACAGCATGAATCCCAGCGGATTCTGGAGATCGGGAATGTTGATCGAGGGATTTGGTGAGATCTGCCCCGAGAATGCGGGGAGGAATGTGGCGAATGTATAGAAACGTTACTAGGAAGGGAAGGTAGAAAAAAAGGAAGAGAGGAGTGATGATTTCCAATCCGGGTCAGACGGAAGGGTTTAATATTTAAGACTAGAACAACGTGATGGCTTCCATGGTTCCAAGGTTCGGAGAGGGCAATGTCATCATCCATGGATCAGCTGGTTTTTTCGGTTTTTTTCATCTTTTTTTTCAACGTGCCATTACGGTATATGTATCTATCCAGAGTATGGAGTACATGGTACTATTTACTCTTGTAGACAACCTATTGATATAATTGAATTTGAACTAATATCTGAGATCTTGTATATTCGACTCTCAAAAATGACCAGTCCAGACATTCACATACCTCCCAACCCCACCTGAAAAAAATTAAAAAAAGCCCTGGTCTCTAGGCTAGAACGTGTTTCAAGGCATTTCCTTGGACTTTTCTACATTTCTACGCCGTAGTAATCCGCGCGGGAAAAAAAAATGAAAATTTGACCTTCCAAACAGAAAAGACATTGTCATTGTTAAATCGATCCCTTTGCCCTGCTCCATATTCAAGCCCCAGTGGATCCCATAGATGACAGCTCAACTGAGGCTGAGCAGATCGACCACGCTATAGGTAATGTACGCATCCGTCGGCTCGGCTTTCCTTGTGCTCCTTCTTGAATAGTGTTTTGAGATTAGAAATCCTGTCAGCTGTAAGATTGCCGGCAAAATTTAGTCTATCCCCCCGGGTACCGAGTACCGAGTATACAATCCACCATCTTTTTGTATTGATTTCAGAACACATCTACACTAATGTACTTGGCCAGATGGAGATCTTCGGAAATCATTGTACCATACCCTTGCCTACTGGGGGATTTTTGGAATGTTAATCGATCCTTCAGAAATTTCTTCAAGCTGTGAGGCTTTCGGAACATTTCATCACAACCAATCGGGGATAGTTGGGCACTGTGGCTGATAATGGAAGTATTGCCTCGGCCTGGGATGCAAGTCGGGCGCTGTAGAGTTCCGATTGGTTGCCTTTGCCAAGATATAATAAATAGACCTTTCAGGGTTGGGTCGGAAGAGGAATACACAAGGTCATACCCATCTGGGGTGGCTACTACTTCGTACATAGTTCCTCAACCGCAGACTAGATCTAGCCACTCTAGCGCCGCTGTGGCGGATCATGACCCACGACCTTACCGTTGTGTGGCCCCCTGCGAGCTACGACCATAAACGCTGACAGAAAGGATACCTAATTGAACAGAACGCCAACCGGTTGGAACTAGTGGACCTAGTACAAACTATCGATAATAAAAGAGCAGGTTTTAATTTATATAGAGATCTAGCATCCAATGCATGCACAAGTTGACTCGCCATACAGCAGGGCCATCAAAAGCTGTGGAGGAAATGCGCACGACGAATCCAAACATAGAGAGAAAACATTTCAAAGGCGATGGTATAGAAACGCAGGGTAATCAAGAAAAAGCTTAGCGCATTTACAACGCACCCAGCTCCTTAAGCTTGGAGACCAGGCCATCGACATCCTCGACCTTGCCACCACCCTTTCGTGGCGCAGGTTCTACAGAACATTAGCTCACTCCCACGAACCAAATTGCAGAGCCACGAGAAGCACATACCAGTAACCTTCAAAGTCTTCAGCCGCCGTGTATCCTCGACACCGAGATCGGCAAGAGTCTTCTTCTCCAAGGGCTTCTTCTTGGCCTTCATAATATTAGGCAAGCTGGCGTACCGCGGCTCGTTCAACCGCAGATCTGTAGTGATAACCATAGGCAGCTTGGCGCGGAGAGTCTCAACGCCACCATCAATCTCTTGGGTAATCTCAACGGTACCCGCCTCATCCTTAATGTCAACTTTGCTGGCCTGCGTAGCCTGGGGCCACCCAAGTAGACCAGCAAGCATCTGACCAGTCTGGCCCTGGTCACCGTCAATAGCCTGCTTACCCAGCAGCACGAGGTTCACATTTTGCTCCTTGACGACAGACTGCAGCATTTTGGCGATAGTCAGTGGCTCCGGGCCACCGTCGCCCTTGTCCGGTACGTCAATATGGAAGGCTCGGTCAGCGCCCATGGCCATGGCGGTGCGGAGGACATCTGCACATTTCGGACCGCCGGCGGAAATTGCAAGGATATCTTCGACCTTAATGGGGCCCTTGCGCTCGCGAAGGCGAACGGCCTCTTCGATTGAGAGCTCGTCAAATGGGTTCAGCGAGTGCTTGACACCAACGGTTTCGACACCGGTCTGAGCTTTGTTGATGCGGGGTTTGATCTGATAAGTTCAGACATGGGTATCAGTCATCATATCCCAATCCCAAAGTGAGTGGTGAGGGTCATGGAGACCTTGTTGACTGAGAAGTACAGCTCCGAGCATCGGTCGCCCGAAGCTGCACTTGGAGGGGCCATAGTTGAATTGGCGTTTGACTTACCGCATAGTCGATCACGCGCTTGATGGGCACCAATATCCTTAGGCCACTCATTTTGTGTAATCAGTAGTCGAGCAACGGCCAATTTCTGAGTTGACGCAAGGAAGTTTGGAGGCTCGGAGGAAGAAAGCGTGCGGTGACGGAGTGCCAAGAACTCAAAAACGCCGACGCGGCCCGAGTTTAACCCTCGTCGCGCCACAGACTCCTCATGCTACCGTCCACGTTGGCGGCCATCATGATAACAAGCGCTTGGGGTCGGAGTATAAAGGCCGTGTACATTGTACAGGTATCATGTTTTCTTCGCGGTTCCAAGTTGTCTACCCTTAACTAGCAGTTATCACACATGCAGCTAGAAACTGCATTGTACAATGTGTCTACAAGCATGACATGACTATGGCCAGAATTCATGGACCAAAAGCAGGGCAGTTTCATCCGAAGATACAGGAGAAAGACTATTTGCGGAGTAGTGTATACTTATTGCTTACTTTGTTATGTACTGCGCACCCGTCAATCTTTGTCTCTATGCACATCATCGTCTAGAATTTTGTTTTGTATAGTGACCTTTTTTGTTCGATCAAATACACCGCATCAAACTAAACCACAGGAGCTCAAGTCCACAGCCAAATTCCATTGAGAAAAGGAAAAGACCCACGGACAACCCTTCTGAACAGAAAAAAAAAAAACTGGATGGCGATCCGCTGTGGAAGTGACATGGGGTTGCTGATGTTACTGATGGCCGCAATTCTCGGCCATGCTCACACCACCGAACCTGCCGAGGTTAACCCCACAGCCTGCAGATTGTGATGATGAATCTCGTTTTGCATTTGACAAGACTGCTTAGGTTGGAAGAATAGCCTACTGTAATTGGGCAAATTGGTCATGGCCTGTATGGTTCCTCACATAAGGTCTAATCTGGCTTCACTCCAGCAAGTTTCAGTAACCGGTCACTGATTTGGGGAAGCTCTAGGGGCTCGTCGTGATCCCTTAGGCCTTTGATGGAGAACGTCTTCTTGCTTTGAACTACTCGAGCTTTGCCCAGTTAAGCTAGTATAGACCCTTGATTGTCAATGTCAAAGTTTCTGAATGGATGTCAAAAAATTCACCCACCAGACGATGGGACCCAGAATAGACTACAAGTCCTCCATCATCTGGACCAGCCGTAGAGAGATTGATGATTCCTCTGATACAGCGCATAACCCGTCGGAAAGGACTCTGAACCACATGTTCCCAGGCACCCTTCCGCGGGATATCCTTGCGGTTTGGGAAAGTGATATTCAGACGGTCGAAGCTAACGAGCAGTTGTTCAGCGCCTTGGATTTTGGAAAAGGCTTCAATTACCCCTGCCCCCATGCGTGCATCCCGCATGGATTTTTCATGGGCGAATAGATAGGCACTGAAGGTGTTGATAGTGCTTCGGACTGATTATTCGCCAACTACATCTCTGGGTTTTCAAATTCGAGCTCGTTGTTTTTGAATGACTTCAGCCATTCACGAGTTGTTGGTATGCGATGGTCCGATCATATGGGAGTGCATCTTTGATCACTACAAACCCATTGTTCCGAAGTTCGGCGAGCCGGTCACCAGTCTCCGCACCACATGGGTACATACTGGACAGTGTTTCATTGTACACATGCTAGGTTGTAGAGATTTGTGTTTTTTAGATGAATGGACGTTCCTTAAAATGAAATTGAATTTGAGGATTCCATGCTCATCTTGAGCTTGAAACCTTTTTGCATCGCAGATGGTCATGTTCTGCTAGTATTCACCCGTGGATAGAGATTTTTTCATTAATACATGTGCAGAGAAAATGTCGCATATTCAGCTGCGATGAGAACTGATTATTCACACCAATCACCAAGTTTCTTGTTTGTAGCGGCCGATTTGTTCCATGCCAATGAGATAACCCTCAGCCTGGGAACGGGTGAAAGGCTGCCCCGGCAAAGGAGCTCCTCCGTGCTGGAAAGCTTCGATCAGCGCCTCACGCACAGCTTGAGGCATGCGACCCGAGGAACCACAAATAAAAACCGACCCCTGCATATCATGCAACACGCGGAAGAATAGCGCGAAGTTCTCACGCACGGTATCTTGCACGTAGACCTTGCGTTGCTGATCACGCGAAAAAGCAGTAAGCACCTGCAGCGGGATGAGCTTGGTGAGCTCCGTCCACTCTTCCTCGAAGAAGAAGTCGGATTCTCGGTTTCTGCCTCCGTACAGAAGAATGGTAGGGCCGACTGGCGGGTTGACGCCAGGGTTTTGCTCACGATACGCCTGCACAAGTGCCGCTTTCTCCCAGAGCATGGAGCGCAGGGGTGCAACTCCAGTGCCCGGTCCTATTAGCACGGT